CTCCAATACACTACTGCTTGTAATTATTTTTTAAATATATTGTACTTTTCTATAGCTATATTGTGCTTTGGCTCATACTACAAACCACACCTTAGTTTGCATTAACTGAAGCTGACTGAATATTTTAAACCAAACTGGTTTCCTTCTCAGGCAAACAAGAGAAAAAAACTAAGTACCGATAGTAAAATTTTTGCTTAATATGTAGCTAATTTATCTGACTGAGGAAAAAATGAAATACCTATTGGACTGTAAATCACAGAAAAATATCTAAATGAAACAGATTCTCAACCGTCAAGGAACACACATCACATGCACAAACCTACTTGCCATCTTCTCATCTGACAGAGCCACACATAAAACAAGAAGACAGCACTTAAATGTATTTTATTGAGGGAGCTCAAAATTAATTCAGTGTTTTTGCTAAAACAGAATTATCCAGCACTACGTGGCAGTTCTCATTTTCAAATGTTTCTGTCGCATGGCTCTTACCTGGAAAGATCGCAGATGACCAGCTACTTTCACATAGGTTCCTGGTGGAACAACCACATTTTCACTACCCTCCTCCTTGAATAAAAAGAAGAGACAATGATTTCTTGGCATTTACCAGTAATCTTTCATAAACTAAGCAAATCAACCTAGAATGGCAGGATTCCATTATCTTACTTTACCCCAATGGAGAACCAAAGCTAAGGGAGAGCAAATTACAAATTCTGCAACAAATGTTATTAAAATCCACAGTCCTTCCAAATAGGCAGCACTTATGGCTGTCTCTTTCATTTTCTTATTATTCTAAAATGAGTATGGATTTGAACATGGACCTCCTCATTTCTATAGCTGCCACATCATACTACATCTTTTCAATTATATCGAAGCCTATGTGATACTTACATCCGTGTCGACCCACTGTCTCACATCCATCGGAGCTGCAGTCATGTCATCCACTTTGTAGAGAATATTTGTTGGAGCTTTTTCAGCATGCCTGATTATGCCCACGATAATAACCTGCATGATGAAACAGATGCAAATCTCTCAATAAATAAGATTGTTAAGTGGTATCTCCTACTAATCTTTGTGTTAATTAACACCACAAATGTATACATCATGAATGGATCATGGTTTGGCACAATCAGATGAAAATGTGTCATTAGAGAGGAAACGTTTAAATAAAACCTTTGTATAGCAGTCTTGGCAGAACTAAAAATTGGAACAGTGTTTGGAAGCTTCAAATGATATGAATATGGCTGCGTGGATAGTAAATGGTGCCAGTTGCTCGGTGCATGTAATGCCATTGTGCAATTTTGTGAGCCATGTCAGCTGCTGTTGTGCTTCTGATGTGATTCAAGGTGCTGTTTGTTACCTTTAAAGCCTTTCCTGTCTTGGGAACAGGTTACCTAAGGGACTGTCTTTCCGATTGTTTCTACTCATCCGATCTGAGTGTGACAGGATGGGCAAGTTCCAGATCCCACTGGCCAAGATTGCCAGGGCCCAGGAAGCTTTCTGCCACAGCACTCACCCTATACAACATTCTTCTTCTGGAGATTAGACCCTGTTGGCCTTTCATAAGGTCCTAAAGACCTGATTTGTCTGCCCAGGCCTGGGACCCCAAATGCATAAGGTCCAGACTCCCAGCTCTGCTGGAATATCTTCTCAGCTGCTGTGTATTTTAAGTTTTGTATTCATGAATGGAATTATTTTTCAATTTAAATACTGTGTGCCACCCAGAGTCATTTTTTGTGATGAGCAGTCATACAAACTGAATAAACATAATAAATCAATTATAAAATGTATACATAGTAAAGGCAATTTTGAAAATTACCTGTGAAAGTTCAACTTCACGGACCCTGAAAACATCATCCAATTGTTCAGCTGAAAATAGTTGCGATACTGTACAGGGAACGATATTCTGAGCTCTTGACCTCTGCAAATATGAAATTTTTACACTATAATTCTTTTACTGTCGCTTTTTCAGAAAATAGGCTGGATAGAAAGAAGTACATACTGATTTCTTTTCACTCTGGGTTGCAGAAGGCGATGTAAATCCTCCAGGCGATTGTGTATAGCTAATATTGCCATAATTGTTATCATAACCTCCTGGAAAGATAATAGGAAAAAACATTAAAAAAAACATTTTTCTTTGCATTTTTCAGTCTCTGAATTTTTCCAAACTAGCTAAAAGTGCATAGAAATACATTCTATATTACTTTTTTCTTCATTAGATATTAAAATAAAACCAAAACTAAAAATACGATGAGACTCATGAGCGTCTGCAGGGGGGAAGGGAAGAAAATGAGGCACCTTGAGTACTTCTGCCAGATAGACCCAATTACAATCTCATTATTTACACAATGATATAATAATCCCCGGATTTTATTTTAGTTTACTGTATTTTATTTTATGCATCTTTAAAAAAAAATTATTGTAAGCTTCCTAGGATCACATACGTGAGATGGGCGGCAATATACCACGAATAAATAAATGGCATCGTTTTTAATGTAATCGTGGTGACAAACGAAAGAAGAAGAAGGAAAAAAGAGTACAGCTCCCATGAGGCACAGCCGTACAGGCTGCGGATGATGGGAGTTGCTCCCCCATTGCCGCCTTCCGAACTCCCGCATACAAGAAACGCGCCATCCGCCCTCACCGTGACCGGACCACATGCTGAAGAAATAGGAAGGCCCACGCGTGGAAAGGCTTCGCGGTCAACTCCGGCTGCCCCACCCCCCCCAGCCCACGAGCGGCTCGCTTACGCCCTCGCGCGTTTTTTCCGACACGCGCGCAAACACGGGCGCTCGGGATAGGCCACTTATTGTCATTCCCCCTGCTTTTCCCACCTCCTCCTTTTCTCCCAACCAATCGATGGATGGGGAAACCGAAAGGGGCGGGGCCTTTGAGGAGCGGGCCTGGAGAGGAAAGCCGGCCGAAAGAGAGAGAGAGAGAAAGAAAGAGCGATAAAATTAGAGTGGTGCATGCAAAAATACTGTATTTCCGGAACTACAACTCCCAGAATTCTCAGGAGGCACACAGAAGAATTGATATTCTGAGAATTGTATTTCTGGGGAAATTTACGGGATTTATTAAGTGAACGATTTTAGCTTTAGCTAACTGATCTCTTTATGGAGGGGTAGTTTCTTCAGCTCTTTGTAGCCAGGTCTGATGGGCTGTTTCCTTAAAATAGGAAAGAAGCTGAAGTTCCTGTAATGTTATATTGGCATTCAGATTTTATTTGGGAAATTTTGTTTATTATCGGAAAACATACACTTCTGTTATGGCTACCAATTTCCCTGGCGTTTGGCCATACCATTTTTGAAAAGCAAGCCACAGCACTTTAGATTTATTAACGAACCTTCATTAATGGAAGGTTTAATCCCTTTTTAGATACATATAAGCTGGTAAGACTCTTCAGTTTTTTGTTTATTTACACAACTCTGTTGTGAGTCTTGCTGGCTGAAACTCGTTTTTAATGAAACTCGTTTTTTAAATACAAAATTGGGGAATGCCTCAACTTTATTATCTATGAAGAAAAAGGAGCTGCCATCCACCTGCACTAATTTGTAAAAATTTCTCCCGATCCTTTGCAACTTTCTAGAGACTTTTCTTTTTATCTCAATGTTTCAAAGGTCTGAAAAGATTTCAGCACACACAAAAAATCTATTTTTAGCACCTGCTTTTTTTTTAACATAGCCCATGGGTGTTATTCCATATATAAGGATTAGAACTGCATCTTTCCCTGTGAGCAATGCCTTTGAAACATTCCTGCATGGATCTCTTTGTTGAAATACAGATAATAGATGTGCCAGATAAGTGGACAGTTGCAAGTCAGCACCTGGGAAAAGCGAGAACAAGATGTAACCAAGTTTTACATTTCAGAAAGTCAGCTGCAAGTGGCACTTTACAGAAGATTTTGGATAAACAAGTAAACTGTTGAACAAGAGTTAGAAATCGCCTTCCAACCTGGTTTCCTCCACATGTGATAGACTGTAAGCCATCTGTGAATTTCTGAATTGATCTGTTCATTGCCCAACTCAGTTTTGAAGGGACTGTATAAATAAATAAATAAATAAATAAAAATTAATGGAATTAATTTGAGCAGCAGCATGTATAGCTTCTGTCCCAAATCTACATAATTGTACAAAAAATAGGAGGAGGAAGAAGTATTAGGTATGGTCCATACCTTGTTTATTTACAAATATAGTAAAGCTAAGAAAGGAAAGAAAGGAAAGAAAGGAAGGAAAGAAAGAAAGAAAGAAAGAAAGAAAGAAAGAAAGAAAGAAAGAAAGAAAGAAAGAAGAAAGAAAGAAAGAAAGAAAGAAAGAAAGAAAGAAAGAAAGAAAGAAAGAAAGAAAGAAAGAAAGAAAAAGAAAGAAAGAAAGAAAATGGATAGACAGTCAGTCAGACAGACAGACAGACAGACAGAAAAGTCTATATTCGTATTTGTAGCGCCTCTATTTTAAAATGACTGGGGGTCCTTCCACAGAGAAAAGTAAAAGCACTTTTAAATCTTTGTTTGAGGCAGCACCCCTCGCCCCCCATGACCCCCCCTCCTTCTGTACAGAGAGAGAAGACAAGAAGGAGCAAGACTGCTTAAGGCAAAGAAATGAAGAAAAGAGAAAATGTTTTATCAGAGTTCATATTCCTCGCTCTCATGTCCATTCCATCCATACCTGGGTCCTATCTCCACATATGACCCTTCCTCTGATCCCCAGGGCCTCATCTGTACATACATTCTATCATCTGATCCGAGTTGTAACACTCTAGAAATCTTGTGTTGATTCAGCAACCACAAGAGCATTGTTCCTCCAAACGAGTTAAGTCACTGGACTGCTTGATGTAGTTTTTGGCAGAGAACCTAAACATTTTCCTGTCCCTCCCCACCCAGCAAAACTTCTCTGTGAGAAAACAAACTTGTTCCATCCTGCTACATCAGCAAAGAGCTTGTCAAATGACAGAGTCCAAGGTAATAGATTGAAGGTACACAGATACTGTAATATAAAGCTTGACCCTTCTCCCCAACAATCTCAGCTACATATTTCCTTCAGTTAAGACACTGTTGAAATACAGGGATTCTGCTAAGCTGGAAGAGATGCCAGGTCAGTTCCTCCAGTAAGCCATGAGAGATGTTAAGTTTTTATGTCAAGTCAGTTCCTCCAATAAGCCATGAGTCAAAGATATAGGGGAGGAGATTAAAAAGGCTGACGGATTGCCACAGCTGCACCTACAGAAGACAAAGCAGATCTTCGGTGCTTGTTAGCCACAAAACCAAAATGGACTTTTGGAAGATTCTATTGCTGCTGATGCATTGCAGAAATGTAATTGCAACTTCAGGTATTTTCCATATTTTTTATTGGGAAAGTTATTTAAAGGAATGTCATTCAATGATAAGTTTCAGAAGGCAATACTTGTCTCTAGAACAGAATATGGGCACCACCCTAAGGGCTGCTTCAAAAGTTGCCACTAAATTGTTGTTTTAATATGACAGAAGAGGAACATTATGCAGAAGTAATTAATATTTACTGTTTAATCGATTTGCTTTCAGCTATATCCTTTCTTGTGGCAGATCAGATGCAAAGAAACCGGCTAAGTTCTGTGCTGTTGCAACTGGCATTCAGTTGGCAAAATTGAACCTTTTTAAGATTTATTTCCAAACATTAATATTTTCTACTTGTTTTATGTTTTATATTTGGCATGTAGCAGAGACCCCCTTTGGACATGCGCCTTCATCTTAAAGGTCTGATCTGTGTTTATAATTAACTCAGTCCATTGGCCTCATTTGAACCACACATAAATCAAGTCAAGTTTAGGGTTGTCCTTGCCCCACCCATTTCTTCACTTTGGTGTTACTTAATTTTTGGAGGTCGGCTCAGGCATACCATTCAAAATCCAGGAGAAAAAAATTGCTTGTCTTTGGTTTAAGAAAAGGGGATGAATAGTTTTGCGGAGTGGGCTTGGCAAACGTGGGGAAAGCTTGCAATTGCACAGGAACAATCCTGGACATTTTGCTGTTTGAAAGAATGGAACGTTGGTTCTGGTGAATGCAAAAACTGAAACAAATATTGAGTCATTTTATTGTGAATTTTCTGTCTGCTGATGCAGGTTCCTTCTGGCATATCTCAGACCTTCATCTTGACCCAGAGTACCAAAAGTCCTCAGATCCATTGAAGGTGTGTCCATCGGCTGGCACTCAGCCAGTGATCACTGCAGGAACCTGGGGTGATTACTTGTGCGATGCTCCCTGGATTCTTATCAACTCTTCTATTTATGCCATGAAGAAGATTCTTCCTGATCCAGACTTTATTCTTTGGACTGGGTAAAAAATAAATAAAGCATGAGTCCTATGCCTCATAGTAAACAACAGAACAAACTTTTTATTTAACTGCTTAGCTGGCTAACCATTCAAGAATAACTGTTCATTCATTCTTTTAATTAATAACTATCATAACAATTCAGGATTCCCATGCAAATGTATATGTTAGTTCAAGAGAGATAGCTTGTTTGTTTGCTTATGTATTTGCTAAATTTATATGCCACCCATGGTTATAGGTTACCTGGGATGGAAATAAAAAGCTTTAATGAGGTTCAGAATAAAACAGAGACAATATCTACCTCTCTGTCTTTGTAGATTTCTATCCCTTTTATCTCCTCTTAGTTTAATCACCTGTTAGGCTAATTTCGTTCACAGTTGAGACCTGGTTTGTACACTTATTTTGTTCTTATATATAGTTTATCTAGGTTTATGCTTAGTATCTGTGGGCTTCACTGGAATGTGTTTTTGCTGTTTTCTAGAGATGATACTCCTCATGTGCCAGATGAAAAGCTGGGAGATAAAATTGTGTTGGAAATAGTAGAAAAGCTAACTAACCTGATCAGAGATGTCTTTCCAGGTACAAAATGCTAGAATAAGTGGGCAATAACAAGCCAAGGCTTGTAAAAGGCCATAACCAGATGCAGACTTTTACATTTTGTATATAAGTTAACATGGTACATTTAATATAAGACCTAGGTACTGGAGAAAACAGAGAAAGGGGTACACATGTGGTGGTTTTGTGAAGCTGTTCATTTGTTCTGGTGTATTTTTTTAAATTATATTGCCATTATTATGCTTGGTTGCAGAGTCAGCCAGATATTTAGACTAGGTTATTATTATTAAAATGAGATGATGTTTAGAGCATTAAAAATACTAAGTTTTGTTTTACTGGCCACAGCCATTCAAGTAGCAGCAAGATCTTGGAAAACAAGGAAGGATTTGAATATTTCCACATGGCTGCAGATATGTTGGATATATCACTTTAATAGAAAAATTGATTGAAAAAAATATTTCAGCAATGAAGATGATGACTTTTATCCTACCTGGCTTAAATGTATTATGTGCAACAGAAACATAATGATTGCTTACTAGCCAGGTCCATATTCCTGGTTAATTAAATTAAAATCATATGTATTTTGCTTTCATATGGTCTTCATTATCCTGAAAATAAGATTATATGAAGTTGCAGAAGTTTTCAAATTCAGAAAATTAGATGTAAAGTGCACTTTTGGAAAGAAAAAATTCATAGTCTAAATTAGTACTAAGCAGTGGGCACGAAATAATCTTTTTGCTTTATTCCAAATGTTTCGAGACTGCAAATTTTAACATTCCCAGCCATCACAGAGGTGTCAGATTGTGGAAGACAATAACAGAATGTTCATCCTTCAAGATTACTAAGAATATGTTGCCTAAGCAGCAGCAAGTATAGACAAGATTGTATATATTCTGGTTTCTCCAAGAAAGATGTTCCTATTTCAGGATAATGGGAAGAATTTACATAAGCCGGTATATTTCCTTAGGGGAAAAATATAACCCATTCTCCACAGAATGACTTGGTGCAGACAGCATATGAAACCCTAGCTATGGGTTCATATGGTTGTTTGATTTTTCCAGATATAGCAGTGTTTTTCAACCTTAACCGCATTTAAGATGTGTGGAGTTCAACTCCCAGAATTCTCCAGCCAGCATGCCAGTTAAAGAATTCTGGCAGTTGAAGTCCACACATCTTAAAGTGGCCAAGGTTGAGATTCACTTGAGATATAGAAAAGGTTCACTAGGTTTCAGAATCCTTTTTGCTTTGGCTTTCCGTATGCTCAGCTCTGTAAGTACATAAATTTACCATCTGATAAAATTAAAGTACCTTCCTGGTCAATTTCAATCCATGGCTTGATCTCCCATGTTTGGTGATTCTCCTGTCTAGGTCCACATTTGGTAAATTAAAATAGATTCAGATAAAAGTTGCACTAATTTTGATTACTCCATGCTTAAGTATACTATCTCTGGTACCCCTGTTCAGATTTTGATGGAACAAATTCTGAGTCCACAAATCTCAGGAAACCATAATGGGACCCTCTTTGTAAACTCTACCATTCAGATTTGTGTGTAAAGATTTATGCTTGTGGCTTAGCATCAGATCAATCTAGGATGGCTAAGACAAAACATGTGTGATTTGCTTCTCCCTACTGTATTTTTTTAGTATTTATTTGATTTGTCAATTGCTTACAAGGTACAGGTATAAGAATAAATATAGTTTTGAATACATGAGATAGATAGTTATAAGAAAAATAAAAAACAATAGGACAGGGACGGTAGGCACGATTGGTGCGCTTATGCATGCCCCCTACAGGCCTCTTAGGAAGGGGGTGAAGTCAATAGTAGACAGTCTAAGGTTAAAGTTTTTGGGGTTTGGGGAAGAAACCACAGAGTCAGGTAGAGTATTCCAAACATTGACCACTCTGTTGCTGAAATCATATTTTCTGCAGTCAAGTTTGTTGCGGTTAACCTTGAGTTTGTATCTATTGTGTGCTCTTGTATTGTTATGATTGAAGCTGAAGTATTCATTTGCATGTAGGACATTGCAATGTATGAATTTATATACTATATTTAGTATATAAAATCATATATATATATATATGTATATATGAATGACAGATTTCTTTCTTATACTATTCTCTTCCAAGCTATGTTCTTTTCTGCTTCCTTCAGATACTCAGGTCTATCCAGCAATGGGCAACCATGACTTCCACCCCAAAAATCAGCTTCCAGCTGAGGAGAACATGATCTACAATGCAATAGCAGACTTATGGCGCCCCTGGATTGATGAGCCCTCCATACAGACGTTCAAAACAGGTATGTGATGGCAGATTGTGTTGTAGCATTTTAAATTGACTTGAGAGGCAGTACTGAAATGCAATTGCCCCCCTCGCCAAATTCTTTCCTCTGGTTCTACATAAGGGGCCGTAAGAAAATGAACTGGAATTAGTAGCCCATTCAAACAATCCAGTTAATCAAATTAATTGCTTCCTACCGGTGGTGGGATTCAAATTTTTTTACTACCGGTTCTGTGGGTGTGGCTTGGTGCGCATGGCAGGGGAAGGATACTGTAAAATCTCCAGTCAGAGGTGGGATTTGCCGGTTCTCCGAACTGCTCAAAATTTCTGCTACCGGTTCTCCAGAACTGGTCAGAACCTGTTGAATACCACCTCTGCACCAGATGCTCTCTGGTCCAAATTGACTTATTGGCTGTTTTGCAGGTGCTTTCTACAGTCAATCGCTGCCTGGTATTGGACCAAGGAGGCGAATAATTGTCCTCAACACCAATCTGTACTATGAAAATAATAAACGGACCATGAATCTGGAAGATCCAGGAGGCCAATTCCGATGGCTGCAAACTCTGTTGACCAAAGCATCAGAAACAGGAGAAAAGGTTTCTTTCAGATGCCTTAATTTTATTGTTTTAAACAATAACTCCAAACCTTTTTGGGACAGATAATTATAATCAGGATAATGTCTCAACTCAACTGCAAAAATACATTCAGCACTATTGTGCTGTCCAGACAGTATATAGTTAATTGGGAATTGAGATAGTTAAGTTAGAATTGGGAGCTGTCCCCTTAAGGGAATGCCTCACGGTAAATGTAGTTAATGCATCATGGGAAATGTAGTTCATGTCATGTGGTCACATCTGTAATCCTGATTGGTCACTGAATTGACCCTTGGTTGGGTTGGGGGAGTTTCCTTTACTCTTGTTTGGACCCCAGCCCCGTGCTGGTGTTTCACCCTTTGCTCCATCGTTATGGGATGAAGATCACTATAATTTTACACTATGAAGTCAGCTATGCAAAGATTTGGATATCAGATGAATCTTGACATAACTGTGAGTTACACCTTGAGAATGCCTTGTGATCCAATAAAGAAACTTTGTATGGAAGCCTTTGTAGAGTTGCCTGTCTGTCTTTATATTCAGCCAGCAATTTAAAGACAGAACAACTATGAAGCGATTGCAAAAGGTATACCTCTGGAATGCCAACACATTTCATTAGTGTCATAATTTCAAGAAGGAATTGTTAAAGGATACATATGTAATTAAGTCACAATCCATGGTTTAAGCCAAGGGTCTTCAAACTTGGCAAGTTTAAGACTTGTGGACTTCAACTCCCAGAATTCCTGAGCTAACATGACTGGAGGAGGAATTCTGGGAGTTGAAGTCCACAAGTCTTAAAGCTGTCAAGTTTGAAGACCCCTGGTTTAAGCCATAATTAGGTTTACATTACATGATAAGGCATAAGCATGGTTTGATTTGTAATAATAAAAAACGGGATAAACATATATTTAATAGATAAAACCAAACCATGTTACGACTTAGTGTGGTATGTATGAATCTAGCCAAAGGGAGCAGGAATCATCGCTTGTAAGATTTACAAAGGGCCTTGGAAACCATTAATTCCAACTTTCTCATGCAGTTTAGGAGAAGGGTTGGGTTCAGATTTAAAAATATCTATAACAAAAGTTTCAGGTCCATATAGGTTGAGAGAACATATTTTGAGAGGATATAGGGAAAAGCAGAAATTTGGAGCCAGCTCTGGGTCCGACCTCTTCCCAAAACATTGATCAGGCTAGCTAATATCATGGGAGAATCAGCTTGGGGAAGGCTAGGAAACTGTATCCTGCAATCTTTAGTATGTCATTTTCCCCCCTGACTATCCCTTGTCTGATCTATCTCAGGTCTATATTATTGGGCATGTTCCTCCTGGCGTCTTTGAAAAGAAACGAGGCAAACCCTGGTTCCGAAAACACTTCAATCAAAGATATACAGAAATCATTCAGAAACATCATGCTGTAATTGCAGCACAATTTTTTGGCCATCATCATACGGATAGTTTTAGAATGTTCTATGATAACAAAGGTACATCCCCTGGAATTCTCTGGATGTCTTCCAGTCTGTAAAGTAACAGGGTTGTGGGGCAAACTTACTTTAAGGTAAAGGTAAAAGTTGCCCTCGCACATACGTGCTAGTTGTTTCCAGCTCTAGGGGGTAGTGCTGATCTCTGTTACAAAGCCGAAGAGCCAGCACTACCGAAGACGTCTCCGTGGTCAAGTGGCCGACATAACTAAACACTGAAGGTGCACAGAACGCCATTACCTTCCCACCAAAGGTGGTCCCTATTTTTCTACTTGCATTTTTATATGCTTTCAAACTGCTAGGTTGGCAGAAGCTGGGACAAGTAATGGCAGTTCACTCCGTTACGTGGTGCTAGGGATTCGAACGGCCAAACTGCCGATCTTTCTGATTGACAAGCTCAGCGTCTTAGCCACTGAGCCACAGGAAGGCAAATATCAAGGCTGGAATCTTGGCAACTATCTAAAGATGTCCCATGTTTGCCAGAACCTCTGACAACTGGAAAAAAATGTCATACAATTTAGCAGCATAGTTAAAACAAAGTTTCTTTAAAAACAGAATGGACAATATGAAATGGCGTAGGGTCTCCTGCCAGGATTGGACTAGAAGATCTCCAAGGTCCTTCCAACTCTGTTATTCTGTTATTCAACAAAATTTCCAGTTACATTAGCTGCCAAAAAAGCCTATAATAAAATAATATTTGCCCAGGGATAAGATCTGTGTTCGGAATCCAATTAATTAATTAAATTAAATTAAGATAAAGGGGGTGCCCCAAAGGTGGTCGCAAGGTTTGCATTGACACAAAGGCAGTTCCTTGTCTCATCCGCCAATTGACACATTGTTGGGACTTGAATGCCACTATTCCAATCTGCATATCACTCCTTGCTCCATCATGGATTATATCCTGTTACGGTCTGGCATGGAACTGACAATAACTATCAGTCCTGAAAATAAAACTGTGTGTGTATGTGTGCGTGTGATCAAATTCCCGACGTAGTTTGTCTTCTCTTTCAGATTCCCCGATCAGTGTCATGTTTTTAGCTCCAGCAATTACCCCTTGGAAGACAAGCTTGCCAGGTGTGCAGAATGGAGCCAACAACCCTGGCATCCGTGTTTTTAAATACGACCGTGAGACTCTGCTCGTGAAGGTAGAAAGAGAATTCCATTTACTTATGTTTGTCTCCAAGAAATCAGGGTGCCGTACAGTGGTGGGATTCAAAATGTTTTACTACTGGTTCTGAGGGCGTGGCTTGTTGGGCATGGCAGGGGAAGGTTTCTGCAAAATCTCCATTCCCTTCCCACCCCACTAACCTGCTTTTCAGCTCCGTTTTCCTGTGCAGGGCAACAAAAGAAGACCCAGCCAATCAGCTGGGTCTCAGGAGGCAGAGAATAGATGGGGGCGGGCCAGTCAGAGGTGGGATTTGCCGGTTCTCCAAACCAGAGGTCTCCAAACTTGGCAACTTTAAGACGCGTGGACTTCAACTCCCAGAATTCTCCAGCCAGCTATGCGTCTTAAAGTTGCCAAGTTTGGGGACCTCTGCTCCAAACTATTCAAAATTCCCACTACTGGTTCTCCAGAACTGGTCAGAACCTGCTGAACTGGTCAGAACCTTTGCCCACAGTTCTGCCTACTCTTCTCCACCAGGGGTGTCACTCTTGCAGCCTGTGGGCCGGATGCAACATGGCCTGGCCACAGCCACCTACATTTTAGTGAAGGGTGGGGAAGTTGCAATATGTCACGTGATATGACGCTGCAAGTTTGACTCTCTTGTCTTACGCTATCTTCATCATTATTAAGTTTTTTACATAAGGTTACAAAAATGTATGTGTTTAATAGATGGGACCAAAGTGTTGAGTTGTCTGTATGTTTTTGCTGCTATTGCATTCGGTAGTTGTCCGAATTTCTGCAGCCCGAATCTGGTAGTTCTCTCTGATCAGTTTAAACAGATTTCTTAGTATTTCTTCCAAATGTTTTCTGTTCCATTTTAGGATATAATAACTTACTATTTAAACCTCACCCATGCTAACATGGGTACTCCTGAGTGGAAAAAAGAATACAGCCTGACAGAGGCATACGAGATCCCAGATGGTTCTGTTCGCTCCATGCATTTGGTCCTGGAGAAGCTTATGAGAGATAAAAGTCAGCTCCAGAAGTACTACCGATATAATTCAGTGCAATACGATAGCACATTCTGCAATGACAGCTGCCAGACAGATCACATCTGTGCTATCAGAGAAGTTGACTTTGAAAAATACAATCAGTGTGTTATAGCCAGAAGTGCTGCAGCTGCAACCCCAGTTCTGGACATTTTCTTACTTTGCCCCACCATGGGTCTCATTACTTTAGGCCTCTTGGACATCTTGAGCAAGCTGGGCCACAAATAGCACCAAGTGAATTCCACAGGAATAAATAAGAAACACAGAATGTAGTGACAGTCACAAGTGCCAGCATCCTGAGAATTTTAGACCATCCATTTCTGATGAATTGTTGAACTGCAAACTCATCTGATCAAAATTATTATTTTTTCTTGCACTGGGATGGTGCAAGGTCTTCCTTGGAAAAAAAACAAATAAACACTTAAGCGGCAAAGCTTCTAATCTAAGAGTATCATTGCTATGACTTCAAGAGTTAGGGATTATCATTAGGGCGTTATGCTGCAGTGGCATAAAAGGGTACTTCCAACTGATGTTAGGGAAAGAGGAGGTTCTGATGGACTGTGCCAGAGCATGGACTCTTCTTTAACATCCACATGAAATTGATGGTGTCAATACGTTGCTGATACCAATTTTACATCTCCACTCCAGGCTGAGTAAATGACATTTTGGAATTCTTGATTTGATACCCAAAGGCTATAAAAGAACAGGATTCAGTGAAACAGGTTCATCTGAAAACTCAGTGGAGTTATTTATGCTAATGTCTTCACTTGCATAAGATGTGTAAAAAAATGCAATATGTATAAACTAACACAATTGTTTGACCGGAAATTTTTATCTTCTGTTAAGGGCACCTTGGAATCACAGTTTCAATACAATTTCAAAGGATTGTTTGTTTGGGTTTTTACTGCCCTAAATTGAGAGTAAGGGGAATTTTTCCTTATACAAAACCTCGTTAACTTTCAGGAAGGAAGTAAAGCCACTCTTCTAGAGAGCTTTTGCTGAGAAGCCAACTTAGATGGACAGTAGCTCTGCAATATGGTTGATTTTAGGTTGTAGACTGTTATATTTTTAGAATTGTAAGCCACCTGTGACCCAAGCAGTATTGTAACATTCAAAAGTCCGCATTATCAAATAGATAAATGTGGTTGAGTTGGGTGGGGTTGGTTTTGAGTGTGATCTCATCCACTGTGTCTGTAAACCCATCATAGTTAACAAACTATAATGGGGGGGAAAGTATTTTTAAATGCACTGTGTGAATCCTAGCACATGACTTTCAATGACTCAGTTGTTTATTTCATTTCCTATTTTATTCTATGTCTACAATGCCATAAAAGCAATAAGGGAAGACTTACAATGATACAGATTTTCACCTCAATAGAAAGGCGGGCCTTGTACAGAGAAATAAAAGTGCACATTCAAAACTAACCCTCTAATCTTTCTGCCTACACCATGATATCAGGTCCAGATTTTCATATTCTGATAAACCATTCTGGCTTTTTTTTAAATTTGGTGTGCTGGTTTCTAATTGTTGTTTTACCATAAACTATTATTAAAGGATCCATGGTTCAATTTGGAGTTCAATTCGGAGTCTCTTAATTTTCTGGATTTTTCTGGAGCAGACAATCTTTTAACTTCAGCGATTTAACAAACACACACACACAAATATGAGGTTTATTGACTTAATAGAACTTAAATGGCTTAGGGTAAACAATAAAGGCAATAATATTCTACATAGAATAGAGGAACTTAAGGGGATGATTCAGGATCAGTCATTTCACAGCTATTGTTTAATGTTTTTTCAAGTTTTCACAGAGATAAAACAAAAGATTTCCTGGAATCTGAAGATAAGATTTACATATAGGGCAGAAGAAGTTGCTTAGACTTAGGTTCCGATCACTTTTATTGTCTGATTAAAGAAAAAAATGTAATATAAAAACTGAGATGAGGGGACATACCAATGCTCCAAAATAAATAATCTTCAAATATTTTTGACTACCAATTTTGACTATTGGTAATTTATGTGGGAACTACAATGGTGCTTTGAGGTTTGCGAACCTTTGGGATTTTCAGTATTTCTGCATAAATATGGCCTAAAAACATGATCTGTTCTCCATAGAAAACTCTGGAATTACAGTGCAGCTCCAGGCATATTTTTCTGACAACTTATTAACTCCAACTGTCTTCAAAGGATTTTAGCCTTGAATGTGTTTAACTTGGGCTTTTGAGGGCTGATGAAAAGGAAACAAGAGTTGAGGGAATTGTCTTTTAATTCTAGTATGTGTCAAACTGCATGATTCAAAATACTTAAGAACTTAGAATAACCAATTGAAAACAATGAAAGTGTCATGAGAACATTGGTTTTGCAACAGTTTTAAATTAGGCATTTTACAGTATTACTCAACCTATGAAAAAGGGAATAAATACATCAGAATGCACAAGAAAATATTTAGCAAGAAGGTTTGGAATTGACCTTATCCAGTTATTCCTGCTGGGAACTCAAACTTTTCATAAATACCTACAGGTAGTCCTTGACTTAACAAGTATTATAATTGAGTTAAAACTGCCAGAGTTTGCAAGCTGTGTTTTATGGCTTCCTGTTCCACAAACCTCTCTCTATCTATGTACAGGTAGTCCTCAACTTACGACCACAACGGAGCTCAAAATGGATGTTGTTAAGTGAGAAATTTGTTGAGTTTTACCCCATTTTACATTTTTTCTCACCAGATTCGTTAAGTGAATCTCTTAAATTATTAACATGGTTAAGCGAATCTAGTTTCCCCATTGACTTCGCTCATCAGAAGGTCGCAAAAGGGGATCATATAACTCCGGGACACTGCCAGCGTCATAAATGTGAGTCAATTGTCAAACATCTGAATGTAAATCACATGACCATGGGGATGCTGCAACGGTCATAAGTGTGAACAGTGGTCGTAAATCACTTTTTTTCAGTGCCGTTGTAACTGCGAATGGTCACCAAATGAACTGTTGTAAGTCGAGGAGTACCTGTTTGTGTGTGTGTGTGTGTGTGTGTGTGTGTGTGCACCCAGCCAATCATCTCTGTAATTTAACTATGCTTAATTGTAAGGTGACCAACTTTTTTACAATGAGAAGGACGACACAAATACATTGAAGAAAAAGAACAAGGCCTCTTGCACACTCTCTCAAAACAATTCTCCTGTGTGGGGCGCATGCGTCTCATAATCGCGTCTCGCCGCATTGTACTGAGCCTTGATGAATCGTCATGTCAAATATAAATACGTCACATCACACACAACGGATCGGATCGGCATCGATCAAATACGGAGATTTACAGATTAGTCTCCAAATATCAAAAAGAAGGACATGTAGGAGGACACTTTTTGAGGGAGGACAGAATTTACAAAAGGACTGTCCCCCCTAAAGGAGGACGGTTGGTCACCTTATTAATTGAATAAACCCAAATTGGAGGGGTGGATGGGGAATTAGAGGAACTCCTACATTAACATCTCCCAAAGGTGTTTTTTCAAGAAGCAACTGGACCTTCTGGTTTTCCTTTGGGACAACCATGACCTGGATGACTGAGAATCTCCATCCTACATTAACACTTGGCACAGCCTTCTTTGTACCGATCCAAGAGGAAAGCATGGACTTTGGGTGTTTCTGTCACTCCTTGCAAAAAGGCGCTTGATATCACAAGGGTGACCCACAAGGCTCGAAGCCTGCATCAAAGAGATTATCCCGGCCATCTTTTGCACCTCAGCCCCATATGCAAGATAAAAAAATGCCTCAATGCAAGGAAAGAAAAGGTGATTTGCCTCAATGCAAAATAAAAAGTTTGGCGTAGGCCAAGGCAACCCCGGGATTTCCAGCCGACGTGTGAAAGGTGTGTCGACCCAGCCTCGACGCTCCCTTTTCAAGACGGTCCCGGCAACCCGTCTCGGGGTAAACAGACGGAGAAGGAGGAGGAGGAAGAGGAGGGCAGGCTTACCCCTCTTGCCCTTCCAAGCCGAGAAGGGAGGCCCGCTTCCGAGCCGGGCGGCTCACGAGCTCCGCTTTCTCCTCACTGGGTCCCGCCTCTTTCCTCCGGGGAAAGCAGGCCCGGAGGCGGGAGAAGCGAGGGTGGGGAGGTCATGCAGCGTCCGGGGCGTCCCGCTCCGAGCCGCTGCCGCCGTCGAGGAGAAGCCCGGCTTTCCTCGCTCCCTCCAGGTCGGAGACGGGGAGAGGTAGCGGACAGGAAGGCGCGCGGACCGGTTCCCCATAAGAAGGGACGGCAGTGGTCCGTCCCGGGGCGGGGAAGGGGCGTTTGCAAAGCCCGGAGGAGACTTAGGGGAGGGGTCTGAGGGGGGAATCCCGGCGAAGTTTCTCTTTAGCGGGAAGCGACGCTAAGCGGAGCTTCACTCCTCCCAGCAACCCGCGGTCGGCGAGGCGAGGCTCTGCAACTGCTCCGGAGGAGCCAAAGCGGCCGTCCCCCGCCCGGAGGGGCCTCCTCCTCCTCCGGCCCTCTCCAGGCCCGTTTTTCCCTGCCGTCCAACGGGACCATGGCTAGGACCGGCTGCGGCCCTGGCTGCAGCCTTCCCCAGCCGCCCCCGTTTCGCTTTCTGGACCTGGTCTTTGCCCTGGGGGGCACCCTCGCCTTCCTGCTGGACTTGGTGGCCGACGTGTGGGTGGCTGCCAGCTACCTCCGAGCCGGCCACTTCCACTGGGGCGGGCTGGTGCTGGGGCTGCTGCTCCTCTCCTCCCTGACGACCCAGTTCTTTAGTTGGGCTTGGTTCCGGAGTGACTCCGATAAAGAAGGCCTCTGCCAGCCATCTGCCCGGACTTCGAAGCTGCTCCATGTCCTACAGCTCGGCTACCTGTACAGGTAAGAGCAGCAGGGGATGCTTCTGTTCATTGACTCGGGCAAATTGCAGGCGGCAGCACATTCTTCCCCTTGAATACACAACATATGTAAACAAATAGGAGTTTCCATCACACCCTACCAACCTGATTGAACTCCAGCTGCTTTTGTCCGCGTGCCAGAGTCCACACCCACCCACCAGACTCTCAACTAACTTGGTTGGCTGAGTTGTAGAATGATGGAGGGGGGGGGCTTGAGTCATAAGTTGCAATGATAGCGTGGGCTGCCAAGAACTTGGCCAAAGTAGGCAAACACGAATTAGCCTAGTGGGTTAAGCCCCAAAGAAGCTTCTTGGGTGAGAAGTGAAAGGTCTTCAAAGAAAGAAGAAAAATCAGAAAGTCCAGTTGCCTCTTGAAAAAAACACTTTTGGGACAATCATGACCTGGATGACTGAGAATCTCCATAGACATGTAGTGGGTTACGGTACAGTTGGCTGCACAAACAATAATGCTAGAAGCCTTTATGGCTGCATTATGTGTGAACTTAATTATCCAGGTAACTACACTTATCTTGCATATTTCCTGGAATGAGAAGAAAAGTGAAGTCTGTTGGGAGGTATTGCTTTTAGGGATCGTTTAGGATCTTCTAGTAAAAATATATACTTCTCTAACATCATAGAGGAAGTACTGGCTGCTGGATGTTTTTGACCTGCCTGGCTCACTGTTGTGGCCATATTGCAGGGCAGATAGTCCTTGACTTACAACCACAGTTGGGTATCAGACTTTCTGTGGCTAAGCCAGGTAGTTGTTCATGAGTTCCACATGATTTTACAACTTTTTTGGCCATGATTGTTAAGCAAATCGTTGCAGTTGTTAAGTGAATCAGATTTTCCTATGACTTTGTCAGAAGCTAACTGGAAATAGGATCACATAACCCTGGGATGCTGCAACCATTGTAAATACATGCTAGTTGCCAAGTGCCTGAAAATTGATCACATGACCATGGAGATATTGCAATGGTCATAAATATGAGGATTGGCCATGTCACTTTTTCCCCCCAGTGCCCTTGTAACTTCAGTCACTCAACAAATGGTTGTAAGTCAAGAACTAACTGTAAATAAGTCTCCTAGGCCTGCCATTTGAGAAATGTTCCCACTGCATTCTTTCATAATTTTCAATCTTGCTTTCTGTGTTGCCTTGCACAGGTGTCTCTGTGTCCTGAGGGTCGGTTTCCAGGCGTGCAAGATGGAAGATCCAACAGCAACTCATCAGGCCTTTGCCATTTTCCTGTCACACGACGTCAGTCTCTTGCGCCTCTTTGAGACCTTTCTGGAAAGCGCACCTCAGCTCATCCTGGTGATCTACATCATCTTACAGACCAACCAAGCTGAGATATTTCAAGGTGAGTGCCAGTCGGGAGGGGCCAGTTTTGGAGGAATGTGAACTTTCGCCGGCATAAATTCCTGCTGTTTGCAGTTTTATTGGTCAACCACTCAGTCATGTAGGTGAGAAGGGCGATGGAAAAAAAGCAATCAATAAATAAAATCCAGTAGTGGATGTCAGCATTTTTTGTAGCCCAGTTCTTCAGCCTCCTGGGAATTTAGGGTTTGTAGATATATAAAAACAACGTGGAAAAATAACATCGGGTTAAACCTTGTTAATTTGTTCAATAAATTGGAAAAGGATGTTCAAAATCAAATCAAAATCTATGCACCCACAAAGTAACAATACAGTGGAGATCTTATTAATACTAATTTAAGATTGAATCTTCAAACTCTCATCAAGTAATCAGTCCTGAGTCAAGGATTACATGTAGGTTCCTTCTTGATTTTATTGTCAGTGTGTAGGGGATTGCATAACAGTGCAAAAAATAGCGAATTCACTAGGAATTACAATAATTTAAATAATTGAATAATTCCTGAGGTACATGGGAGAGATCTTGCTGCCCCTTTCCAGCACCAGTACTTCGACGTTTGCAATGTGGGAAGTTCTTCCTCAACCTGACCGCTGTTTCCACTGCCTTCTCCCTTGTTTTCTTTGCAGTACTTGGGATTTGTACATCTTTTCTGTGTATCACCTGGGCCCTCTTGGATTACCACCGGACCCTACGTAGCTTCCTGAGGGACAAATACAAGTTGGCCTTCCTGTCTTCGGTCCTCTACTTCCTGTGGAACTTCCTGTTGATGTGTCCTCGCATTCTTTCATTGGCAGTCTTTGCAGTTGTCTTCTCGGGCTACATTTTCCTCCACTTCCTAGGCATCTGGTTGGTCATGTTTCTCTGGGTCTCCTTGCAAGGGACAGACTTGATGGAACATGAAACCTTTGAGTGGTTTTACCGAGCTACAGTAGCTGTTATCCTCTATTTCTGCTGGTTCAATGTGGCCGAGGGGAAAACGCGCCACCGCTCAGCTATTTACCACATTTTCCTATTTGTGGATAATGGCATCCTGATTGTGTCATGGTGGTGGTACAGAATTCCCTTGAGTTGGGATTCCCAAGTGTGCTTTGCACTCCTGGCTGCCCTGGTCTGTTATGCCCTTGGCATTTTCTTTAAATGCGTCTATTACAAGTGTTTTCATCCCGCTATGAAAACTGCACTCATTACGGATTACGATGAAGTAGACAGCAATGATGCTGTTGTGTTCCGGCAAATGGTTATAAAAAAGCCCATCATCAACCATCGGACATATAGACTCTCTTGGAGCTTCTTTGCTGGCTCTTTGGCAGAGGAGACTCAGCACCAACAGAATGGGACCGTCAGTGATATGTATCTATGAGCCATGCTGTTTAGGGCAGCCAAGACTATAGTTGAATTAGATTCAGAAAACATTTGTACCAGTTTGCCTGCTGAAATCATGTCTATGTTTCTTCCAGGATTAGCAACATAAGCTAAACCAAATAAGCTAGGAAGGAAGTGTTATTAGTTAAGGATGAGATTGTTGAAGAGAATCTTTAGCAGGGTGTGGAAGATATGATGCAACATCAGCAGGTATGGCCAAACAAGGCCTAAGTTGAAGAATGCTAGGAAATGTAGTTAGCAAATTCAGATGTTCATAGGTACATCATTATTGTTTTTGATGTCTCTAATCTGGATTCTATGACTTGCACCTTATGGTGGATTGCAATACTTCTCAGTTCTGGTGCACTTTTCAAACTTTATACCTTTAATCTTAAATTCAGGCCTTCACTTCACTGTACTTGACTTCCCACCTGCCCGTGCTCTGATGTTACACGAGAAAAAATTAGTTGAAATGGTCATATGCTTCCCCTTTTCTTTAATGTGTCCATCGGAAGGGTTCCAAACTGCCACTTCTCCTTTTTAACTAGTTCTTGCCATAGTATCTGAACTATGACATCAAGGTTTCTATGGATATCATAGTTTATCTGGAAAAACACATAATCCTTAAAGCGTAAGCTATAAACTGACTTTAATATACCACTTTGAAGATGAACTATAGTTTAGAAAATGCTATAGTTCATGGTGCTGAGACATTTCCAATCTCATTGAGATGAGGAAGTTCACTGTAATTATCTATGGTTTGATATGGGGACTGATGGAAATAGAATTCTAAAATGCCTGGAAGACATTAGACTTTGCTTTAATGCAACATCTGGATTAGCTGGAGTAGCTTCAGCCCTTCTCCTCTGTTCTACTTGATTTTGGATACCTGTGCCCAAATAGTTTATATTTCAAGAGTTTTGAGAGGACAGTCCTTATTCCAATTTCCAAGTTATCTTGAAGGGAAGCTTAGAAAACATGCCTAACACTTCTGGATTTGGCTCTCTTCCTATGCCTTATGTGGCTAATTTTAAAAAGTGTTACTTTAGATTTTCACAATGATTCAGATTGACTGGAATCAGCAAAAATATATATGGCAGAAATGTGCATATTCAACATATTCAAGCCTCTAATAGACAAGATTCAAGTTGGAGTGGAGGGAATAGCAAAGCTCTAGGGAAGGATTTAGTATACATACTTCGGCATTTAAAAAAAATCCAAACCCTCTCCTGCTTTTCACTTCAGAAAGTGGATACACTAGTCTTAACCTATCTCCCTCCTTTCACTAAACTTTCTCCCAGTTTATTATTATTTTATATATAGTAATGCCAAATTCAGTGCAACTGTTAATTTATTGACACTTCTGAAATGTTTACCCTGAGTAAAGTATTTCACTTCCTGTTCATCTGTGCTATTTTCACAGCGCCTACAAGGGGTTAGATAAAGGGTTACATCCTGTCCAGAAAACAATGGTAATTAAATATGTTGTCCATTTTTATGTCCACTATGTTGGTTGGGACCAGAGTGCCATTACATGTTAAAGAGAAATTAGCTAGGGAAGCTTACAACTTCAAAATGGGGTGCAAATCCTTTTTGTCTTCAGCGGTTTGAAGGGCTGGCCAAAGCAACTTGTTAGCAAATAAGAGGATACTAGGACCATGGTTATAGAACTGGTAAATTTTGCTCCAATGTAACAGGCGAGTTTCACAGGTGGCTCTCCAAAGGGGTCAGCTATGGGTTTACTAGTATGTCCCCTACCATAAGGTACCTGATATAAGTGCCTTATTCTGCTTATTGTGTCATTCTCAGTACAGAGAGATGTCAGTTAAAATGCAAATCCAAAGCAAACTGCTGAGGGTCCTGATAGAATTTAATGATGTTCCAAATCCAGTCATTTCTTTGTGGGCTAGTGCATTTCTTTGTGGGCTAGTGCATTCAAAGGTCTGAAAAGCATGATTATTCTTACTTGTTCCTGTAGTTCAATCATATGAGATTTCGTGACATAAGTGTGTTAGATATATTCTGAGTGAAACGTAATCTAGAAGCATGGAGGATCAATATTTAATTCCTAGATCCTGCATAATTGGCCACCTTGGCAAGAACTACTGTGAGATAAATTTGAAAAACCACGGGTCACGCATTGCTGGTGTTACCAGAGCCTTAATGTCATTTTTAAACAAATGTGATCAAACTGGCCATGTTTGTTTCGGAACAAGGAAGCAATATCTAGAGCAGAGGTGTCCAAACTTGGCAACTTTAAAACTTGTGGACTTCAACTCCCAGAATTCTGAAAGTTGAAGTCCACAAGTCTTAAAGTTGCCAAGTTTGACCTCTGACTTAATACATTCCGCAATTTGCCTCAGAAATACAATTCTCAGAATATCAATTCTTCTTTGTGCCTCCTGAGAATTCTGGGAGTTGTAGTTCCGGAACTACAGTATTTTTCTATGCTGGCTGGAGAATTCTGGGAGTTGAAGTCCACAAGTCTTAAAGTTGCCAAGTTTGGGGACCCCTGACCTAGAGCCTTGTTTCAGAATCAGAGTCCAATTCTTATATGGTATTCAGCTAAAAAGAAAAATCACACCCATCTAGCTTTTTCTATACTTATTGCAAACAACATATTTGGAAGCAAAAAAATAAAAGCAGGCAGAATACTTTTCACAGGGCACACTTCATTTCACTCAGTTCACCGGTTTAAACACATGGCAACTGTCTCTTAGTAATCTCAGCCTGACAAGGTAACTTTTGCTATGGACAATAAGGGCAGAGCCAAGTATAAAAGCCCACGATTCCACTGACACCACTTAAGAAAAGCAAGAGTTTTAGATTTAGATTTATTTTCTGTCTTACAGAGAACACCTTGAATAAGCCCTGTATGTAAGGTGGAGTAAAAGACACGCGGAGCTGGCACAGCTTGATGATTTTCAGTAGACCAGTAAGAATTTCTGATCTTCACTTATTTGAGAGAAATCACAATCCCCCAGCTATCCAAACTTGTGAGCAATTCTGAGAAGAATTTCCAGGAAAAAGGGAAAATAAAGAACCATTGAGGGGTTGTATAGAAAATAAAAGACTTTATTTTTTTTTTCCAGTTCACAGGACAGTTGCCATTACATAGAACATGATGTTTAAGGGATCTATATAGCCATTAATGCCCTCCAATTCAGGACGTTGACAGGATCCTGAGGGAGAATCAACAACTGTAATTTACTTTTGCTTACAGTATGCAATTGCAGTTGCAGCCTATTTCTCACAGTTGGTGGGAGATGACAGCCTCCCACATACTTCAGATGATGCATGTCCAGCCACCTTTGCATTAGAAAATAAAAACAGGCATGCTTGAAAGCTAAAGAGTGGGAAGGAAGGTGGCAACACACTGGTTTCCAAATTCTATGAAGCCCCAAGAGAAAAGCAGCCAGCAAAGTCAGTGGTGCCAGAGCTGAATCGACTTTTGTAAAAATTAATACAGAAAATGTACCATCACCCTGAGTGGTTTAAGGAAACAAATCAGCCCATGTATATTAGAGAGGAGGCATTACAAAGACCAGAACCTGATGCCAAAAGCTTCTCACATGGTCAAAGGTGTTTCCAAAACCTGGCAAGGGGGGCTGACAAGGAGCTTCTTTCTAGGACAAACACACACCTCTGAGCCAGTTTCCTGGGGGCTCAACATTCACTGGCTATGCTGACTGAGATTGCGTAAAAAAATAGAATCAAAAGATTAACTTTCAACACGGAAGAGGCTTAACACACTCTCTTCCACACAACGGTTGACGTTTCCGGGACTCTGGGAAGAAGTTAAGGCACAAGAGTTATTTCCAAAGTCAAGCAAGGGCCCCTCGAGGCAAATGACTTCCACACTTTTGCTGAGAAATAAAGAATCTGCAGGAAAGAACAGAGGCCTTTTCTATTCTGTATCTGGAAGGAGGGATCTGGAAGGGAGAATATATTTTCATCCAATAAAACACTGCTAGGCCTATCCTTTAAAGGATTTGTAAAAGACACCGGGCAACAAGGCGGCTGGGCATCTCCTTGAGCAAGGAAAGGAGATTGTTCTTTTTCTAACAATCAAATGTTGCAGCCCACCTTCTGCCCCATCAATGTCTACCATGCACTTACATCAAAAGGAATCATCCTACTGCCCCCCTAACAAGGAAGCCACTGTTCTGGTCCGCCATTTAGTAACGTAAGGGTGACTTCCATTTCTGTTTACTACTTCAACAGCTTCAAGGTTGACAACCAAAAGAAAGGGGTAGGGGAGGGCAGTTAGAAGTTGCAGGGGGTGCAAAGTTGCTATCCAGCTACAGCCGAGATTACCGTACTGAAGAAAATTAGGTGCCATTGTCAAGTGAAAATAAGAAACTGGAGAACCTACAGGAGGCATCTCTTAAAACGTTAGCAGGACGCTATCTCTACCGTCAATTTCTGCAAAGGAGCTGAAGAGATCTCTTTTGCCCTGGGGTTGGGGAAAAAAAATTGTTTTGCAACGCTGTAGCCCACCCTCAACCCCACCTTGGTAACCTTGTTCTACCCCAAGGGTCTTCAAACTTCACAAGTTTAGGACTTGTGGACTTCAACTCCCGGAATTCCTGAGCTAACATGGCTAGAGGAGGAATTTTGGGAGTTGAAGTCCACAAGTCTTGAAGCTATCAAGTATGAAGACCCCTGTCCTACCCAAATCCTTGCTTCAGAAAAAGGACTTGCAGTGCAAGTCATCAGAACAAAAAGGGACACTATCCTTGGCGCATGGGGAATGGCAACCGAAGGGGACTCTTATCGTGGACTGGCAGGGTGCCATCTTGGATCCAAGAAAAGGAGCTTTCTTATTACCCAGGTATGCACTTGCTGAAAAGAGGGGTGGCCGGGGACAATTAGACTCTAGCATCTTGTCCTCACTTAAAAAAAAACTACCCTGTGCTAGTCAAGTGGGTGTATTTGCTAGAAAAAGAATTGGGGGACAGCCAGGGTGCCTCAAGGGAATGGTTGGATATTTTCGATCCCTGGCTTGCCAGGAAAGAGTAGAAAGCTCCCCTTCATCCAACACAAATTGTTATTCCCACCCACCCACCCCAACCTATAAACAGTACTATTTCTGAGTTTGCAAGAAGGGAGACATGCCTGGACCCCTTTCTGTAAAAAATAAAACTAAAATAAAAACAATCCATTTGCCTTCCTTTCTGATTCAACAGCTTGAAAGAAGTCTGCAGGGGGCAAAAGTATTCTACAAAACGGTACTGCTTTTCTCTTCTTTAGTACAATACCTCCGAGGGCTACACGGGGAGAAAGGCCTTTGCTGCTGGAGATTCTGCACCTGGAAGTTCCCCAAAGTTCCATTTGCCAAAAAAAAACAAAAAACCCCAAACCACAGAGAACCATTCGAGCACCGGAGCAGCATTGCCAAGGCTTTGTCGGTTCTCCCAGGAAAGCAGCGATGGGGGGAGGTGGGGGGGAGAACCTCCTGCTGTACACTTCCACTGGCTGCGTTTCTTGGTCTGGATGAAAGAGAAAGTCCCCAGACTGGTTCCTGTTTAAGCCACGAGGTGACTGTTGGGAGCAGGGCCGAGATGCTTTGTGCCCAGGTCCTCACAGAAAGTCTAGCTCGAGGGCCTGGTGAAGAGACACCAGATCCGCATGATTTGTGATTCGCCAGAAGGGCATGTTGTGCTGCAAAAGAAGAGAAACCGTACTGTGAGGAATGAGATTCTCTCTGGCAAGGGGGACAAGGTGAGGTGCAGAAGTATAATTAAGGCTTTTTTTCTGCACAAAGGAGGGCATAGTGACTGATATGAAATTCTGCATACTGGCTTTTTCCCCCTTCTTTTTTTTTTGTGTGTGTGTTGGGCGGGGGGAGAGACTTTGTAATTTTGGGGAAGTTGCACTACAATTTACAGCAACTGTTGCCGGACAAGTGTGATGTACTTTGGATTCCCAGGATGGAGAAAATGCATTCCAGAGTAACAAGAGACAGCAAAGTTTACCGTATTTACCAGTCTATAGAGCGCATCGGAATATACGCAGCACCCACTAAATTTTAAAAGAAAAATATATTTTTACATATAGTAGCTGCACCAGACTATAAGCTGCAGATATATATGCGTCGAGTGCGCCAAAAACTACCGGTAGCGTCTTCTTCTTTGCATTGACCTCTTGTGTCTGTCACGTTTTTGCGCCCCCTGATGGCAGTTAGCGAAGAAAAATCTATAAATAAGCCGCATTGTTGTACAAGCCGCAGGGTTCAAAGCGTGGGGAAAAAGTAGCGGCTTATAGTCCGGTAAATACGGTAGTATGGGAGGAAGAGTTAAGGCAGGCTCTTGCTAGCAGTATTTAATGGTGCAAAAAGTCTGCTTTAGTTTGGCAAGATTTTTCTCCATAGGTGGAGAACAGTAAAGGAATTATTAGGGTACTGCAATGTTACCTAGCTTGGAAATGAAACATCTGCAAGAAAACCACCAAACTCAGAGAGCATCAAGGATCCCACAGTTCAGCCTTGAGCTACAAATATTCTCTTCTATCTGTAATCAAGATTAATATTTATATGTATTTATATTTTAGGGTATAGCTATATACATATGCATGTAAATAGCGTGTCTATATGTGTGTTATGTATGGGTACACTTTTGAGAGAAGGCAACAGAATTTCATTTTTAATGTGTGCCTGTGTGCCCACAGGAAAAAAAAATGACAATAAAGATTATCTTATCTTAATAAAGGAAATGGCTTAGAAGAACCTCAGTGTGTCTTTCTTAAGTCATTGGAGCCTGACAAGGAGTTCCAATGTTGAGAAAAAAAAGTTCTCTGGCGGAGGGCACACAAACTACCTATTCTTCCATTATTATTTATCGCCATTGTTATCATCATCACTATATCCCATTGTCCTTCTTGAAACTCAATATTGCCTGCTCGTTTTCAGTCCATATCAACCTAGTGAAATAAACTATGTATGACTAGAGTATGACTAGCGTAAAGATAGCTGCTTGGTCCATGAGGGCTTAAATTTGGGTTTCCCTAACCAAGTGCAACATTTTAGACACCACACCCAGCCGTCTTCATGCAGCAAGAATACATGCCCATAATCTGAATGGTGCTGACTAATATGGGCAAATGTAATACTGTACTTTCCAAGAGTTGGAGTCACCCAAGAAAGCAAAGGTTAACATCCTATCCGTCATGAAGTTATTTTCAGACCTATGGATGTGCCTGGGTGAGGGGTGGCCAAGGCACCAGACAGCTCTGAAACAGAAGCTACAGTCAAAGAGCTGGCAGAAACAGACAACAGACCATGTTGGGTGCTAAGAGGAGAAAAAGAATGAAGCCCACGGTCACCTGCTTGGCTGCCAATTCTTCATCACGTCCGTCTCCAATCACCACATAGGTCACCTTCTTTCCAAATCGGGAAATAATTCGTTCAAAACAGCTCTCTTTACCTGCCAGGAAGGGGCACATATCTTTGTGATTAAAACAAATAAATACTTGACTGTGATGATTTCACACATCTTCCTTCCTTCTTTTCTCTTTTTTCTTTCTTTCCTTTTCTCTCTCTCTCTTTCCATATTCAATAATTCACTCACCTATTTTTGTAGCACTATAAATATTCTCAATGGGGAACACTTCGCCAAGTCCATACAGCAGGACTTTGGCCAGAGCTGGCACTAGCTGAGTGGTGGTTATCAGGACATTCACACAATTTCTTCTACAGGAAAACAGAAGGAAAACAAGTTATATGTGGGATGTGTATATTTGCTTTCATTCATAAAAGATCTGTTTACACAAACGACACAGAAAAAATCTACAAACTGAAGTCTAGATGCATCGGGAAAAGAATAACAAAAAAGGAAACTCAGTTTAAATCTCCTATGCAGCAATGGCCACAAAGGCCAGGATTTGAGAATTGTTAGTCATGAATGAATAGCAGGTACATATATTGCTTCTCCTGCAAAGCCTAGAGGTTTGAAAAATCTAGAAAACGTTCTATGCAAACCTGGAATTCTGGCTTGCTCTTTTAATAAGCTATGAACAAACCGTAGCTGGCTCACTAGACAAGAATCCTAAATAGCTATTCCAGGATTGTTCCAAGAAGAACAAACAAGAGTGTATCACCACAAGGGTCATCCATGTTTATATCAACATTCCAAACAATTCTGGCTTATCTTGCTCAGATGTGACTTTTAAGTTTGGGTGTCCAGTTATAAGGTTCTCCACTGAGACATGACCACCTCTTTATAATTCAGGTTGGATGCTTCTAACACTATACACCAATGTGGCAACAGGCACTGTACCAGAACTATTCTGCTACAGGGGAGTCTCATTTTTGTACCTGGACTGAATGAGCAGGAGGGATTTTAACGCTGTTCCCAACCAAGAATCTGTTAACACTTCTATATCTTCCCTTAATCGTTGTAGTGCTTCTTTTTTCTCAGGACTGAGGAGAGCTAGAGGGGGGGAAAACAAAACAAATGAAGTTGATCAGGAAATAGAAATGTTATTAGTCTCAGGGACCAACTCTGTGATTTCTGCATACAATAAATTGGGATTTTTTTCCCCAATTTGGAGATGTCTTTATAAAAACAGCAGAAAGTACAATTTTCATACACTCAGACCATCAACTATTTTAACATTTTCATTTCCAAATTGTCTTTCTGCGATAAGTCAAAACCAAGTTCAAATTTTTAAACAGCTGCATATAAAACATCTCCTATTACTCCAGTCAGCCTTACCATTCTCTAAAAAAATTATTGTGAAATGATTTTCACAAATTCATGAGATACGAATAGGGCTAGTGGTAGAAGTGGGGGATATAATTTTTACCACAGGGAGAAAATAATATTTATTTAAAAAGAGGGATAGTTTTGGTGTGCTTAAAAAGCACTGTGTGAAAGTAAACCCTCTGAAGGCACTTCAGAAAAAAAATGAAATTCTGCATTTTCTGGACAGATCTGTGATGTGTGAACTTCCAATTCCCAGAATTCTATCGACGGCAAGGCCATGGGGAGTCCATTGGAAGCACACTCAATCAAAGAACTGAAGAGAACTGTGCTGGGGAAATGTTTTTATTTTACTTATTTATATTTCATGTTTCTAGACCATCATCTCCTTCAAAGAGAAGCGTGTTATATCAAGGGTGTGATATATCCCTTGGTTGCATTCCAGATGACTGTGCATGTCAAGTGTAAACATTTCAATGCAGTTACCCCAATGCTAGTAACCTTTCAACAGATTATTGAAGTCCTGCAAAAATTGAATGGATGGGCCTTATTTGAATAAAACAGTTCAGCTGAAATCTACATACGGGAGTCTGACTGGGATAAATTGTAATTGGGGTGATATATTGACATATAATTTGCATTTTTTATTTTATTCTTTTTATTTAATCTGTTTCTTTTATTCCATTTCTGTCTTATTAATGTTCGGTGTTTTATATTTTGTATTTTGATATGGCCAAATGGCTAATCAACCATAAAGTCACTATTGGCTGGCTGATTCTGGTTCTTTCCAAAAGCTTAACAATTTTTAATAAAAGAGTCTATCTTGCCTACTGTAGGAAAAGCATAAGAAACCTACTGGTACTCACCAACAACATTGTTCTTGTATTTATCATAGACCTCGCGTACTTTCCGGTAGCGAAATGCCAGCTTCCTCATCCAATCCACTCCTCTCTGGACTCCTGTTGAACCATGATTGGCATTACTTCCCGAACCACTGAAACCATCGGTGGAAAAATTGTAGTTACTGGAATAGAAAAAGAAAGATTTGGGTTTACCTGAATCTCACAAACTGAATTTCAATAGTTATTGTTCATAGATTCTAGACTGTTTGCCCTATTTTCCAGGGGATATCCTTAGCTTGAACACAACACTTCCTATTTTTAGCATCCTGCTGAATTCTTTGTATGTAAGCATTGCCTTGGTCTGCCCATCAAGTGCTTTGAGGCTCTAAAACACCTTTTGTTCACAAGGAGGAATTATATTTTGGAATGCTCCTGGTTACTCTTCTATCCTTCCTTCCCTTTTTAATAAGAAAACTCAAAGGTCATACTAAAGAAAAGAACCTCAATTTGTAAATATTCAACATTTGATACATGTTGTCTTTATCATTATATATGAATATCGATATTATCCATATTAATCCCTGGGATCCAAACCTTAAATCCTGGCCATTGTCATCTGATGCAACATCTTCTACATGTACTTGGTCACATTCCTGTAATGAAAGGATAGAAAGAAATCTATGATGCTAACTGGCAATAGCATTCCATGCACTCTTCCCCAGTCAGATGCCTGCTTCATGGATTAGAGTTCCTAGGCAGCCAGCTTGGTCTCAGTGGATTAATATAAATCTTTCAGGTGATGGAAGACTTCCATTTGATCTCTACGCTCATTTAAAAATAACATGATCAATGATAAAACAATAAGCCATGACACTCCTTGAAATTATACTTTGAAGAAATTTAGAGAACTGAAGCAAGACAAATTAGATCTGAGTTTAATTCTTTTTTCATCTCTAATAACAAAGAGGTTGCTATTTGTCTATATTGATTACAATGCTATGAAAAAAGGGGACTAAGATTGGAATAACACAGGTCTCCCACTGTTAATCTTAATTGACTAATTTGGAAGTTCAGACTTGCAAGTTGGTTTCATTTCCTATTGCAGTTCTGACTAACAGAGATAAATGGTGTTGGGATGTGTCTTCTAATAGATTTTCTTGTGACATTCCAAGGTATGTAAAGTCAGAATTTGCCTACCTCCAAGTCATTGAAAAACAAGTGTGTGTCAGCCACTTCAAAAATCATTTCTTCCATTGTTAATCCAAAGCCAACAACTAAACTGGGATCCTAAAAGTTAGAACAGAGAGTTTTTCTGAGGGGATGAAAGACGTCAGAAATTCTAATGCAAAAGAAACATTTACAGAAACTTACAGAAAGTACAAATGTTATACAGGTGAATTACTTGTTTTATTTTAATACAGGTACAGGTAGTACTCAACTTATGACTGCAACCGAGCCCAAAATTTCCACTGCTAAGCAAGACAGTTATGTTGAGTTTGGCTCCATTTTATGACTTTTCTTGTTGTTAAGTGAATCACTGCAGTTGTTCAGTGAGTAACACCACTGTTAAGTGATTGTCTTCCCAGTTGACTTTGCTTGTCAGAAGGTTTCAAAAAGTGATCCCATGTTCCCAGGATGCTGTAATTGTCATAACTATGAGCTAATTGCTAATTGCCTCTGAATTTTGATCAAGTGGCTGTGGGCATGCTGCAATGGTCATAAATCTGAAAAAGGGTCATAAGTCAAAGAGTACGGTATATAAAAATACTTTTAGGCAGCTCTTAGGGACAGAACCAATAATATCCAAGGGGAATGGGGACAGGGTAAAAGATGGCAAGATGGTATCCACAATCATCCAATCAAAGCTCTCAATTTTTTCCATTTATTGTGGTACAAAAAAGGGTGGGGCTTTGATTGCCTCCCCCCACCCCCCGGCTTTTCCCCCCAGTTTCTCCCCCTGCAGACATTCTTGGATGGAACCTTCCAGGTTTGTATACATCATAAAAACTCTACTGCTATTTGTTGGCATTCTAAGATAGGTTGCTCTATGTGGCAAAGTCAGAAATATACACATGCAAGGGAACCTCCAAATTCTATACACTCAAAACTTTAAAGAAAATGAAAAATGAATTAAATTCTTTCTGCCAATGTATTATGCACGTTCACAAAGTATTCTTGAAGGAGGCAGTGGTATCACCCCTCCCAAAGGATCCCTTCCTTGATCCAGAGGGGCTCACCAATTTTCACCCAGTTGCTAACTTTTTCTTTGGGGAGAATATAGCATTGATCATTCCTCTGGATCTGCGTTTCACAAGCCTTCACAACTTTACAATGTCTGGACTTAAAACTTCCAGACTTATCCTTTTGTTGGCTTAATTTAGAGAATATATGAAATCACTTATGCATTCTACAATAAATACAGCAGCAAAAATCAATACCTTCCCGTATTTTTGGGCATATGAGCCTGTCAGAAGAGAATGAAATATTATGATGGTCTCATCCAAGTCCCACAGAAATACTCGCTGAGGAAAGAAGCAGAAAGGTAATAAGTTAATTTTGGTGGTGGTTGGTTGTCCCCCCACACTCCAAGTGCCTCAAAAGCATCCCATCCCATTCTGGTTATTGTAAAAAAGAAACTAAGTGACTTAAGACAATTCAAAATTACAACAGTCTTAACTTTTGACAAGGGAAGGCATTTGTTTCTGGTATACATCCCTGCCAAACTATATTTTACTCTGTTAGAGGACACTGGGTCATTTGGGGGACTAGATTATGAACTTCAAAAATGAAGACAAATCTCCCAAGAGATTGAGACAAATTTGTATTACATCAGTTCTAATCTCTATACTGCAATGTGACAACTGTAGATTGATGGTCCCTGTTTTGAGGGAAACATTGGCATTTCTTAAGCAACAGATGTTGCCCACATCCTTATTGAGAACTTTCAAATCCTTCAAGTATCACAATACTTCATCTGATGTTCCTGCTCTTCAAGTGTTTCTATTTTAAGTCCCACTTATTTCTCATGTTTTATAGTGATAAAGAGAAAGTTAAACAGACCAATTTTCCCATTAAATTATTCAGCTTGCAGACTACAATTGCCTAACTTTACTATCTTTCCATTAATTCAATTTTCTGAGGCTTAAAAGAGAGAGAGAGAGAGAGAAATAGAGGGAGAAAAATAGCAAACACAAACTTCAAGCTCATTGTCCTGCGGTGAAGAAGCATCTGCTTTCCTCTTGCCTCTGTTTTTTGGAGTCATGTTTCTCCTAGATTGCTCATCTACAAGTTTACTTGCAGCCGCTCTTGGCAATGATGGACTGGTAGAGGGATCACCTAGAAGAAAAAGAACAGCAATGTTTATGTATCTTGTACCTTCAATACCGTATTCAAGTGCACCTTATATAATTCAAATTAAGAACCTTTGAATAAAAACTAATAAAAGAAAATGAAAGAAAACAAGCAAGTAAACAACCATGTAAAACTGCAAAAATATAATAAAGAAGGTTTTGAAATTAACGAAAGCATAAAATGAAAGTTTTAAAGACATTTTAGCAATAGCTCCTAAGACTTTACAGCCCTCTCTCAACGGGTTTACAGAGTCAGCCTGTTGCCCCCAACAATCCAGGTCCTCATTTGGATGGAAGGCTGAGTCAACCTTGAGCCGATCAGAATCGAACTGCTGGCAGTAGGCAGGATTTGCCTACAATTCTGCATTCTAACAACTGTGCCACATGAAAAATCCAGAAAAAGCATCGAGACTCCCCATAGGGAAAGTGTTCTTAGAATGAAGTGCCATCTAAGGAGGCACTTGCCTTACTTTCCAGCTTTGGCATCTGCAGCACTTTCTTGATTTTGCTCTAACAGTGTAATAGTTTTCCTTAAAAGTACACCCACCCCTTCCTTTTCTAAAACATTATCTTGCAATACTGCAAAGCAGCATGTAGAAGCTTTAATGATCTGGACTTCAGAACGAGGGGAGATGACAAGCCATTTATTCCAGGTGGTGGAACAAATCTGCAATGGACATCAAAATACTCTATCCTAATGGGGCATCTGGGCAACAAAACGATGGAAAGCAGTGCTAACTTTGAATCAGAACTTGAGTTAAAATTCTTGCTGGTTACCTCAATGGGAAACTCAATCTATTCTCTCAATCTGAGGGGTCCTCTGACAGGAGAACTTTTCTTCCTGGTTCAGTTCTGGTTCATCAATAAAAGGAATAGGCATCGCTAGGAGCAACATAAATGCACTTCTACAGCACAATTTTAATATATAGTTGAGATCCCATAGCCTCCCGCCGCCCTCTAACTCAGCATATTGGCTGGGGGAATTCTGGAAGTTGAAGTCCACACATCTTAAAAGTTGCTGAGGTTAAGAAATATCGATCTAATTTACAAATCCATCTTCCTTCCCCCCCGCGTTTACCAGAGGACTGTCTCTGCACCGTCTGGGTAGGCACCATGGCATTTGATTTTTCAGAAGGATAGGTGGCAGATGTCAACGTGTTGGTCTCTGTGCTGCTGTCTGCTGGTGCTATCACGCCAAAACTTGAACTGGGATAATACGGCTGGTACTGACTTTGGCCAAGGATGGTATATGTAGGATACTCCTTTAAGAAAAAAAATTAAGAACTGAAAGAGGGCAAAGAATGGTGGAAAACATGCAGTTGCCAAGTGCTAAAAGAATCTTAATGCCAGTCTGTATTACGTAGCCTTCTCTGTCTTGGTACATTTCAACAATGGCAATTACAACTCTCAACAGCCCCTATAGGATGACGCCAGGTTAGTTAAAGTGCAGGAGGAGGAAGCACATTCAGACTTGCAAGTTTCTATTACTATAGCTATTCTAAGAAAAAAAGAATAGCTATATGGCATTAGTTTCTTAATGTGGTCTACTCTATAGAGCAGCCATAACAAATTCTGTATGGATGTGATTATATATAAACTGCCTTCTTCTAGGAATGTTTAAACTTTATCATCTAGACCACAGCTACAGACCTGGGATTTCTTGATGATAGCCCATATAAATGCTTACCAGAGCCAACCATGCTTAGCTTTTTTAGAATTCAGACAAGGCTGGCTAGGTGATCCACATATGGACTGCTTTAAACAAGTCACCTGGAGCTAATATAATTCTAAAGTGAACTCACTTCTCAGTGGAACTCTGCTACATATTTAAACCTTACCTTTGCAGCGGTGACTGACCTAACAAACTTTATTTTGTTCTGTAAACATTATCTTCATCGTCCTATTGCTCCTTAGGCATATTGGACAACAACTCTTATGCCCAGCAAGGTTGTGGAAACTAGCTGGTATTAAATACAATTGACAGCTAAGCCCCCCCCCCCCCCCCCCCCCCCCCAAAAAAAACCAGAATTGCAATACTTAAGACAGAATGAAGTGGGCCTAGGACAATTCACCACAGTCAAATTGCCACAGCCATGGGACAAGAGTTACACTAATATCAAAGAAATGGTGGAATGGAATTATTAAAGAAAGGATGCAAAAGGAGGGACAGAATGAAATATGAATGACAATTTTTTTAAAAAAAAATTTAATAATTAAATCAAATTGTTGAATTGTCCCACGGCGAGTTAGCCATGGTGTGTTGTCCTATGGCGAGTTGGCCATGGCAACTTGGCTGCGGCAAGTTGTTCCATTCTGAAATCAAGCTAATGCTTCTTGGTTCTTTTTTTTTCTGAAAAACTGAAGTGGTCAGCATTGTGACAAATAACACAGGAAAAGACAGTGAGATCCATGTCTCGGGTTGGATACTTACACATGTCATAAAATCAAATTATTGTCTCTTATCATCCAGTTGCTAAATATACTGGAGCATGGGATGAAATACATTACAATGAACAGGGTAACTTCCACTGGAGGATTATGTACCTGTTGAGAGATGCTGGCGGTGGCTGCTGAAATATTGACAGCAGGTGAGGAAGTAGAAATTGAGTTGGCATTGGTATTTGAAGCTGTAGGAAATTCAGAAGACGTGCATTAATCCATGTCATTAAAATTCAGAGGATTGTTAAAACTACCTAATGGGGGGTGGGGGAGGGGGGGAATGAAAAATTTCCAGGATCTTTAGTTCAAACTGTTTCCTTTCGTCAAAAGAATTCACAGAAACATTGGACAAGAAGACAGAGTCCCTCTATGACATCACCATGCAGCTATTCTTTTTTTTCAAAATAATTAAATGCCTTTGGGTTTACTTAAAAAAAGCGCTATATGGATGTAATTTGCTCTTAGCACAAATACATACCAAAAAAACACAGCATAAGCCATTAGTTGTATTAAATTTTGAAATTTAAGTGTATGAATTTATACAAGTTAATCTAAGAATGAGCGCTGCATAAGTCAATGAAAACTACCTCCAAACAGACATCATTTCTAATTTTTGCTAAATGTCGGGTGACATATTTGCTGAAGAATGGTGAAGCTTTACGTTCAAAATATGTAGAGGGCATCAGTTTAGGAAACTGTAATGTGTAGGATTGCGTTGGTAGTTGAAGTGCAATCAGTTGCATTACTAACTTGTCCCATGATTTCAGTGGGACCAAATGTGGCTAACTTTGCTTGAATCAACATCATTACCATTCGGCCTGCTTCTAAGAGGACTGGAACTTAAAAGAGGGCCACTGGAAACAGGCAGATGTTGTCCCTTTATGAGTAAGTCTTTTCAGACCCACTATCTCCCAAAATAAATCAACAGGGCACCCAAATCAGAAATAGCCTTAGGGAAACTAAGTATGCTTAATAATCGTAAGTATCAGCTGGAAAAGGAAAATGGAACCTGGAAGACAGCTAAGAGAATAGTATGAAGGGAACCTTTTAAATAGGACAAGTTTCCTCATTAGGGTACAAAATGTACTATGGTAGATGTTGTTCCATCTTGCACATCATGCTGATTATTAAGGATTTCAACACACAACAGATTTGTTAATTTGTTCCATTCCAGATCCAAGCCAGAGTTTGGCAAGCTTAAATCCACTGAAAGCAAAAGCACTTACAGATGGTCCACTCTAAATCAGACACAATAAATGAATAAAAGAACCATCTCTTTGTGAAGAAGTTCAGTGCTGAAGGGATTATAAACTGGATGCTAATGGAAACTGCATCTTTATCCCAAACAACAGCTACCCGCAACCCCCAAGAGGACTTTTAAGTAAACAAGGTAATCCTTAAAGTGGAATGACCTACTTCAATGCAATATAAAATTACTTTATTTCATCAGCTATATTCTGCTGACATCTTAAAACTTACAATTCTTAATCAACAAATGAAAAAAAAACACACACACACATTGTTGTTCCTGTCATTCTGCAAACTGACATAATCCACTTAGGGATGCTCCTTTCGAGTAAGATGTACTGCAGCAATCTGACAGCATTTCCTTCCTATTTCTGCAGGGAATCAAATATTCAGAGTTGCTTGAGGTTTGTTTGTTTTTTTGGATGCCACAATGTCACAGAATCTGCCTGGAAAACACTCCAGTTTTTCCTTCTCCCATTTTCACCCTGCTTGCAATTAGTCAGAGACCTGCTTGGTGATAGCTAAAGTCACTTAATGCTATGTTGTATTTTTAAATGCAATTTACCACCGTGTATTTCTGAATAGTATTCAGCCCATTCAACGAGCTGAGGTTTCTCCCCCCCCCCCTTTTTAAATGACAACTGCTTATTAGAAATCAAAAGCACATTCTTTTCCTCGCAATTTAATGGCAGGTTGAGTAAAGGATCTGAATAGTTCTGTCGCAACTTTGAAAACTTCTGATGGATTTTAATGCTGATTAAAAAGGGACTTGCAGATACTTATTGTTGAGAGAAATCAGAAGTTACGGCAGGTTGACAAAGCTAACCTTTTATGCATTTCTTGTAACTTAAGCACATGGCAAACACTGCATGCTGAATAAGGAGATTATTATTACCACTGGTTTTTAAATATTTCTATACATGCACGTGACCCATACCCCGGATGGTTTTTCCCCATTTCTATGAGGGTTTTGAAAGCAGAGCATGGTAAAATTCACCTGGTAGAGAGCAGAGAAGCAGGCAAATGGTGAGCAAGAGAGGTGGCAGAAGCAGAGCTCGCCAAGCAAAGAGAAGCATGCACAAAAGAGACGAAAACGTGCTGGCCTCTTTGTGGCTTCTTGACCAGGTTACAGGAAGAGGTACATAAATAAAAAACCATGCCGACCTTTACCTTGAATAGGGTAAGAATAATGTGCTGTGCTGGATTGGCTTGTGGTTAACCCTGTAGTGCAGGTAAGAACACTGTGCTGACTTGGAGATGGAGTCTGAATTAAACCACTCTCAGGTTTCATACCTGGCCACAGTGCACCTGAATCAGATAAATTGCACCCATTATAAACAAAGCTGGCTGTGGTCAGCCAGGCCACCAAACTCTTCTCGCCGATGTGAACAAGTGACACAATTGCCACTTACAGGTAGAGAGTTGTTAAATTCGCATGTGCAAGTCTGAGGTCTAAGCCTAGAGAAGCGGGGAAGGGAGTGAAGCAGCAGGGTCAAGGAAGAAGAAAAAGGAAAGCTAGACAATAAATCAGAAGAGATGCGGTAAGGTTAATTCCCAAGCTTTCCTAAGAAAAGAGAATTGTGCAGGCACTGCTAACCACACTCCTCCTAAGCTCAAAGCCCCTGGATTACTAGTGTTTTCCCTACAGCAAGCCACCGTGACTCAGTTGGGCAGTTTTACCTCCTTCTATAATTGCTCTGGGGCAAAGAACAGGTGGGAGAGATTCTAAATTCACTCAGTGGGTAATTACTGTTGCATGATACATCATAGATAAGTACATGATACTTATGCATACAGGAGTACACCAAAAGAGTACAGCCCTCAGAATACAAACAAAACAAATGGCATTGAATTGGCCAATTTATGCTCTGTCACATGAAATGCAACAGGGCCCATTTCTCTTCTGCAATCTTCCTGAGAGCCATGACGGTGCAGTGGTTAGAATGCAGCATTCCAGGCTAACTCTGCCCATAGCCAAGGTTGACTCCACTTTCCATCCATCCGAGGTTTGGTAAAAATGAGTACACCCAGATTGTTGGAGCAATATGCTGACTCTGTAAACCGCTTAGAAAGGGCTGTAAAGCACTATGAATGAAGCGGTATATAGAGCTGAGTGCTATTGCTATATAAGTTCTCTTCTATTCTAGTCATCTGTTGATAATTGTGGCTGGGTTCAGTCCTTGACTTACAACAGTTCATTTAGTGGCCATTCAAAGTTACAACGGCATTGAAAAAAGTGCCTTACGAGTGTATTTCACGCTTATGCCTGTTGCAGCATCCCCATAGTCATATGATCAAAATTCAGGTGCTTGGCAACTGACTCACATTTATGACGGTTGCACTGTCCTGGGGTCATGGGATCAACTTTTGCCACCTTTTGACAAGCCAAGTCCACGGGGAAGCGAGATTCACTTAACAACCGTGTTACTAACTTTGCTATTGCAGTGATTCACTTAAGAACTGTAGCAAGAAAGTTCATAAAAATGGGACAAAATTCTATTAAGCAATCTCTCACTTAGCAGCAGAAATTTTGGGGCTCAATTGTGATTGTAAGTTGAAGACTACTTGTTTCACAAGTTATGCAACTTGCGTGTTCTAAGCTTATAGATAATCGAAACATACCTATTTGTAATACATAAAGCAGGGGTCTCCAACCTTGGCAACTTTAAGACTTGTGGACTTTGCTGGCTGAGGAACTCTGGGAGTTGAAGTCCACAAGTCATAAAGTTGCCAAGGTTGGAGACCTCTGACACAAAGCACTTTGGAGAGGACACCTTACATGTAACAGCAAAACTTCTCAGATGACTACAAGGCCCTGTAGAGATCCCGGCCAACCTTACCAAAAGGAGGTAGTCCGTAGGCTTGGGTGGTCTGGGGATAAACAGCGTATGTCTGGGACTGTGGGAGGGTTTGATATGGAGTCTGCCCAGAATAAGAGGCCATCGTCTCAGAAACAGGTACAGAAAGGACGTGTGCATATGGCCTACAGAAAAAGAAAAAGACTTCGTTGATATGGGAGATTGCTACATAAACAGGGAGAACTCTCCTCTTGCAACTCAACAGTACCTCAATAATATTAAAACAGCAGCCAGGGAGAAAAAGGGGTACAATCACCTTACCTCCTTTTCCTCTCAACACTTGATCTCTTGATAAGGAAGGAAACTGTAGCAGATGTGGGTAACATCACGGCTGCCAGAGAACCCAGAGAGAACGACTAACATGTTGCCTCCTAGATCTATTGCTGAAAGCTGTGCCTTCCTTCTGGGTTGTGCACAGATTGGTGAAGCTTTTTATGTTCTGTGCCATCCCATGCTCCATGCAATCCAAATTACAGATTGATACCAGCTAAGAAATATTAGAATCTTGCTTAGTCTTGGGTATATATGTACATGCAAGGCAAAGGCAGTCACGGAGGGGCACCATAATTGTTAGGTCAAATATTCCCACCTGGTCAGAAAAGAAGGGAAAGGCTTCGAAGAACAGAGCCAATTCCTTTAAGGACCTATGCATGCAGATGCCACAGAACTCAGAAAAGAAATGTTGTATTATGCAATTAAACATCTACATGAACCAAACACCCAGTAAGATTCCTGCTGTGACAATTTGGAGAAATGAGCCACTTAGTTCAACTTACTTTGCAGAATACATCTGTGAGGTATAGTCGTTTGATGACCTTGAGATGTAGTCCGTGCATGGCATGACTGCAAAATATAATATTTAAAAATTACCTTAAAAGTTATTTAACACAAACCATGACATTAAAGTGGGTGGCTGTGTTTAACTGTAATTTGCATTAGGTCTGTACAAACCTTCAAAGGAAACATTTAAGGAAGACTCAAACAAAACAACCTTTTAAACTTCATGCAATATTTCTAAGAGCAAAACTTCCATATTCCTTTTCTCTGCTCTGCCATGCAAAGTTTTAGTAAGTTTTGTGGCAGATGTCTGTTCAACGTTTTCGGCATAGCTCCCCCAAATTTTTGGTGATCTGTGGGGATGAACACATTTCTCTAGGTAACATATGCATGCCAAGAACTGAAGTGATATGTCCAGAACTTATACAAACCTTCTTCTGGCTTGAGCGGAAGAAGAATAGAAGAGGCATGACAAAAAGTCAGTGGAAATCTCATTACCCCAGCAAATTCAGGACACTTTGCACAGATTTAATATGCATTCTGATGCACAGAATACAAGGGGTATCCTTACTCATGCTCCCACTTTGAAATTTAGGGTAACTTTTTAAACATTTTGGATCGCAAGAAGACGATGTAAAAACCTAGCTTATATAATTTTTTAAAAAGTGTAAATCTATGGTAATTGTAAGGATTTCCCCTCTTTTAGTCTAATTCTTCTGTTACATGCCTTGCTTTTTATTGCATTCTTTATTTATTCTGTTTATTTTATTATGAGCTGCCCAGCATAGTATCATCATTGTAGATGATACCAAATCAAACAATCAAATAAAAGGGCTATGTTACAGACACAATTCAGGCACCAAACGCCCCACTCGTTCTCCTAATCAACTTGGAAAATAAAGAAGCACTTACTTTGATTAGATATAGACAGGTTTGAAGAAAGACTTGAAGATTCGGGCTTTTGATCACTACTGTCCGAGCTGCTCACTTGCCTAAAAAATGAAGTCAAAAAATGAAGTGAACAATGAACCATTGTCACATCCGTTGAATATTATCATCCCAAACATATGCTAATTGTCTTAAAACTATATGCAATACCCATGTTTATAAGTATATTTTAGCCAAAATTCTTTAAAATTCTGAAATAATCATGAATGTTTTTCCATTTTTCTAATTGATTCCTCCTGCTAGCAGAACTGTTTAAACAAATAAGAAAGTTCAAGTTATGGTTTATTCAGCGTTACCTATAATTTAAGCATGATACTAAATGAAATTTAGGCACTACCGAAATTCAATGTGAAAAGGCTCAAATCTTTTCTCAATCCCTCATTCTCAGTGAAATATCAACCAAAGTGACCAACTTTATAGAGCTGAAGATGATGATAAGGATTAACGGATTTGTCATGTCCAGCCCATATTAAATGAAAGAACTAAGAAAATACATTCCAAATCACAATTTGTCATTTTGCGGGGGGGGGGGGGGGGGGGGGGGGGGGGGGGGGGGCTACAGAAACCCATAAAAATTAGATGAGGTTTGTTTAATTTCATTTTTAATTTAAGAATTGCACACCTTAATAGTTGTTCTCCTGATTCCTGCATCTTGGCCTTTTTTATCTGCAGAGATAAGTATGATACGAGGTTATTCAATTTGACAGCAAATAAAAACTCTAATTGTGAGCAACACTTCTTTCATTCATACTCTTCCTTTTTCCTGAATGTAAAGGGGCAATTTCTATTTTTAAATTTAATTCCCAGTAATGTTCGTACTCATTAGCCAGAAAAAGAAACACAGCTGTGCACCTATTTGCTCCCAGAATACTTCAGGTCCATTACTTCTTCCTGTTCCTTTCAGAATTGGATAAAGGTCTATTTGTTGTAAGGGGAAATTTGAGGTGAAATACAAAAAGTCAAAATGTGTTTGCTATAGGTTTCCTGTTCTTCCTAGGGACTCTTTACCGGGACAGTTGCATTACTATTAGTAATTAGTATTCAAATGTTAATTATGAAAATGGTTTTTCATTGGCATTTTAGATAAAATGGCTGCTTGTTAACTTAAGGCATCTTATCATCTTCCTTTATTTTGGCCAGTGGACAGGAATAAATAGAAGCATTACTTATTTAGAAAATTTATTCTCCATTTTTATAGTTAAATATGATGATGTCAAATACATGATACAAAAACACAAAAGTATGACATTTGCACTGCGTTATTAGGGCTTTATTGATGTCATCCAAATCTTTTCCTTTTACTGGGGTTGGCAGAGATTTAGAACTCTGAGAAATTCAAATGATGGTATCAGACAGGTAACTAGTTTTACGTACGGAAATGTTAGCTAGCCATTCTTTTTTTTTTTTTTTCAATTGTATATCTGTGCTGCATTCCTTTATTTTTTTACCCCTGCAAACTAAATAAGATGCATAAGCTATTCTCTAGCAAATTCCATAGAAAGAGAAAGCCCTTTTTTCCTCGCTTTTGTTGTTTCTCTTGTATACTCACTGGCTGTTCCGCTAAATCTTGTACCTCTTCCATTGAGGCAAGCTTTTTCAAAAGTGCTCCAATGTGAAGAATGGGTGTTTTTCTCTCTGCCTTCAAAACCTGTAAAAGACAATATCCATGTTTTGGGGGAACTGCTTATCGTTTTTGCTATTAGTGTGTTTAGCCATTTAATATATCATTTCATAGACAAATGTTGGCTGTACCAATATATAGAGAGAAACTACACAGTGTAACTACCGGTTACTACCGACCAGTGTAACTACCGGTTCGGTGATTTTACGTGCATGTATATCGTCGTCATCTAGTTGCCTGGACAGCTAGGCAGCACTGCACATGGGTGTGCAACGGTTGAAAAATCACTTTTTTCCTGCTTTTTCAACCGCAGCTGTATCGCGCAAAGCAGGTGCGGTTGAAAACACAGGAAATAAAAGTCAGGTAAGAGCCCAGGTGGGCGGTTGGGCCAAAACAGCAGCAGACATAGAACCGGTTCTATGTATGCTCTGTTTGCTGTTTTTCATAGCAACCGGTTCTACAGAAGTGGACAGAACCAGTAGAATCCCACCCCTGAAACTACATTATCACATGGGGAAAAAGCAAGGATTTTCCATTAAGCCTCACGCTACAGCAAATAAGATAATGCTTGTGAGGGTGCACCTCATTTCCAATGCATTTGTTTTGTTACCTGGATTTCAAATCACTGTTCTTTTTTTCTTTCTTTCAACGTAAAAATTAAAGCATTGGAAGGTTAAAGAAATATAAGCCACAGATGAAATACAAATAAATGAAAATGAAAGAGTTTGGAAAACTTGTGTTTACCTAAGTTAGTGTGTTTATTTAACACCTGTTTTACAATACAAACATGACCTTAAGGAGAAATACAACCAGTATTTTTTCTATTTGAAAAATAGATTAACAAATAAAATATGCACCTCCAAATATTCAAGCATACAGGAAATTTCTTCCCTTCAGATTAAAAGACTAAAATCACAACATAATAAGAATTACAAAACTGAACTCATCATGGTATAACATAACCATCAGGTTATGTTTTTTACTGTTTTTTCCTTGATTCACTGTCCTTGATAGAAGAAATGCTAGACAAACACCAAGCTGGTTATTACATATCATAGAAACTAATTAATAAATTTGTCTTTGCCTATTTCAACTAATTTAATGATGTAGTAAAATGCCATTTTGATAAACTTATTTTTTGTCCTCCATTAGTTTACTGAACCTGATGATTCCAGACTAAGCCATGACTATGATGGTGAATTCTTTAAAAGAAACAACTTGGTCAGGAAAAAAAAAGTCCCAATCTCCACACAGTAAAACAAGAGTTTGGATTCAGATTCAAATACTACAACAAAAGCACTTTAAATCAATGGGTCTTCACTGATTTAACCTGATTTAACTGATGCCAATAGGTACTATCTAGTTACAACTAACCTTGGATTCAACTTATGGAAAAAACAGTTGCTGAAATAAAATTTAATGTCAAAATATTTTATTTCTATTACATCCTTTCTCAGGAAAATTCCAGGAAGGCTCACAGAACGTAAGTTGAAAACGTAACTATAAAACGCTACAATAGCGCTATAATAAATATGTTTAACTGTCAGCCTCAAGATATCTTCCTAATAAGTATATTCTGTCTTCTAACTATTGCATATCTGCTACTATGCTAATTTACTTCTTTCGGCTGTCATGAAACGGTGGGAGGGGGGAATCTTGGAGGGGAAGAAGGCAGGAGGTGTTTTGCATTCCTTTGCTGGGTTAGCAAGGGGAGGGGGGATTCTTTTCTTTAACTTTCCATTTCTTCGCTAGCCTCTGTCCTTTTTTGCGCAACTGCGAACTTTTATCAAAATATGTCAAGGTCAACTGACAATAGCCTCATCACCACCTGGAGATGACCACATGATCATATTCAGAAGTTTTAATTGGAAGAATCATTTGAACTTTGGGGGGTGGGAGCAATTCTATTCCTTTGTATATGTGTTCTACCCGCCAATTTCTTAGTTTCGGAATTGGCTCTGTCGTTTCCACTTTATTTCCCAGTAAAAGGATGACTTTGCTCTACACCATGGAGTCTGAGTATTTCTTTCTTGGGATCTAGAGGGAGCACAGACTGACATTAACAGCTATAAGCAAATGTGATATTACAATCCCTACTTTCAATACTTGAGAAAATTGTTGTAATGCAGTGCCCAAAAATATTTAAGAGGAAAAAAAATTACCTGATGCCTAAAAAACATAATGATTATTAAAAGTGAATTGCTTGAAATATTTTCAAAATTAAGGTTTCGCAATAGTGGTTTTGCAATACAGTAAAAGCTTTTTTTACTCCTTTCGCAAGCCTCAGCTGATGACCTACAAACATTTATTATGATAAAAGCAAGAAGACAAGATTCATAATCAAAATAAGATTTCAGCTTGCCCTGACTCATAGAAAAATTAAAAACAAAAACCAAACAGCTTAATAATCTGTTAAAAATCTTATTAATTTATACATTCACTTAATAGTCCTTCTGTACCGCCAGCAGGATTGTAAGATTCCTTATCAGCAATGTGCCATTGGATTAGGATCTTTGAATTGATTTACCAACAATCGGGTTTTAAATTTTAATTCATGAATACTTTAAAGAGTTAATTTAAATCATGTTTTGTATAAAACTGTATTCAACACAATTTTGGCTGATGCAATCCTATGCCTCTAGAATTCTTAACCCCCCCCCCACCAAAAAACCCCAATTCAAAACAAATCCAACCCAAATCCCACAGATTCTTAAGCATGAATCACCGAGATTAATGGGATTTATTCCCAGATAACAACCTAACTGCAGTGTTATCACTTTTTTAGTGAGAAAATTCTCATTAAAATAAGATTTTTAAAAATGTCTGAAAATTAATATCTATGGAGATTTTTAGTCATCCATTCTTTGGCCTGAAACTTAAGATGTGATGGCAAAGTAAGTTCAGCGTTATTCACATTTTCACTCTTGTTTGTTTGGCTTATAATTGGAAATAGTCCCATGCTAACGGTTCAAAGACATAGAAAAAATGTGCTAGTGCCTGCAATAAACAAGCTGGTAATATTTTCAAATTTTCAGCTGTCTGTACCAAATATAAGTTTTTTACTTATTCTAATGTTACTAAGGAATTTCATTGAATCAATAATGCCCACCATACAATATTCTTAAATTAATAAGACAGCAAGCCACTCATCTAAAAAGCTCCAAGTCAAAACCAGGAAGAGCTGTAAGTATAAATAAAGTCAAATGGATTTATTCTTAGAAATGGTGAAGCCACTTTTATGAAAATTGAACTAAAAATACTGTACAGTAGATGGATTTCAAATCTAGTTTTAGCTTTTATCATCTTTTTTTCCTTTCCAGAGCAGGTTTAGTATATTGCATTAATCTACTGCTCTGGCTTAAATGTCATACAAACATGAAGGAGACATGTTATTTAGAATTCAGCAATCGAGATTAACAACCCAAAAAGTACCAAAAAGATCAAAATGAAGTAGATAATTTCTTTCAATGTAGAAAATTAGAATTTTCCTGAAATCTTCTTTTATTTAAATTATTTTTAAAACATTTTTTATCTCTTAAAACCCATATGGTGTGAATAGTGCTGATTGTAATAAATATAGAAAATGTAGTTTCATAATCTTTATCTCTGAATGAGTCCTATCCCTTCAGCACAAATATTAAAATATATTTTGCTATAAAAATAATCAGAGAAAAAATATAATTCTTAACAGGAAAGTAAAATGAAACGTTTTATAAGCCATTTAGTGTACAATGTAATCTTCTATTCATCTTCACAAAAGGAAATCCCATTAGATTCCTTGAGACTCCTCACTGTGTAAAGGACCATAGTCCTATTTTATTATTCTGTAAAATTATAAGTAAAAAGGGTACTAGAAAATTGAACAAGGATTCATTTCAACATATAAATACAAAATATCGTACAACACCTATCCATGATCACCAGGACAATGCTCTTCTCAGTCTAATTTTGTAGCCAAACCATGATTGGCTCGTTTGCAATTCAGGTACTTATACTGTCTGCATTACTATTACTATTAATCCTCCCATTCTTCCTTTCACCCATCTTCTCCCACTTGTGACTGTATGACTATAACTTTGTTGCTTGTATCCTAATGATTTTTATTGACTGTTTCCTAGTATGATTTGATTGCTTATTGTACCCTATGACTATTATTAAGTGTGGTACCTGATGATTCTTGACTCTTGATGAATGTCTCTTTTCTTTTATGTACACTGAGAGCATTTGCACCAAGACAAATTCCTTGTGTGTCCAATCACACTTGGCCAATAACTAATTCAATTCAATTCCTATTCTATTCCTATTCTATTGCACTTGTTCTCACTACACAAGGATGTTCTCATCACATATCAGACATTTTATGATTTCAGTTCCTTAAAGCTCTGGCAGTAAGGTGAGTAGCCAAGGATAAAAGAATATACATTTAAAAGTCATGATAACACGTGTCCAACATATTTTTACTCATTTTTTTTAAGAAGTAACAACTTTATGATGCATTCAGTGCTTCTTCTGCTGAGACTCTGAAATCATTAAAGCCAATTTATCATTTGTAGAGAAAGAAGTTGTGGTCAACCTATGACCACAATTGAGCCCAAAATATCTATTGCTAAGTGAGGTATTTGTTAAGTGAATTTTGCCCAATTTTATGACCTTTCTTGCCACATTTGTTAAGTGGATCACTGCAGTTGTTAAATTAGCAACAGTGATTCTGGCTTCCCCATTGATTTTTCTTGTCAGAACCAAAGGTTGGTTATATGACCCCAGAACACTACAACCGTCATAAACAAGCATCTGCATTTTGATCACATGACCATGGGAATACTGCAACAGTCACCAGTAGGAAAAATAGTCACAAGTCACTTTTTTCAGTGCCAACTTCGAATGGTCACTAAACAAACCGTTGTAAGTGGACGACTACCTGTACCTTATTTTATTGCTAACCCATAGTCCTGCTTCAGTTGATGAAATCTTCTAACAGACTGACAAGATCAGAATCTATAAAAGGAGATCTATAAAATTTGGAGATTAGGATGAGCTCCTCAAAGGCAGCCTGAGATTCTGAAAACCTCTGTTTTCTCCTTGGCAAACGTATTATAAAAATATAATATAATATAATAAATATAATATAATATAATATATAAA